GGGAACTCCCTCGCCCGCATGGACCCTACGTACATACGGAGCGCGGGCCGAGCCAGGAGTTGGGTGTCATCGCGATCCCGCGATGGTGGGGTCGAACTTTGTGGGAGGGAACACAGACAGGGAGGGACACAAAATGTGTTCTTGGACATGATATTTACAGCGGAGACGACATGTGATTTATCTGACAGAACCGGCCTATTATGAGAGATGACAGTCGGGCCAAACAGCGACGCCGTCCAATGCAATGCAAATGCCTGCCCAACAAAGCCAAAACCAAACCAAACCAAGCCAGCGGAAACAATAACCCCCACCCGCCTCCAAATCAGCCCGTGACGCGCCTCACCCACAGCGTCGTGGGCTCGTAGTGCGCCTCGCGGTCGATGCGCTTATAGGCGCGGTGCAGCTTGATGCCGAGCTCGTACTCCTCGCACTGCACCTCGGCCAGCTCGGCGCGGAGCGCGTCCACCTTGCGCCTCTCCACCTCGCGCTTGTGCAGCACCTCGGCCGACGCCATGATGTTGTCCGTCGGCATCAGCTCCGTCATCTGCTTGACGGACCGCGATATGTTGATGCGCCGGTTCGCCAGCGCCAGCAGCCGCGCGTTGATGGTGTCCACCCGGTCCACCGCCGACGCCTCGGGCGGCGCCGGCGGCAGCGGCTTGTAGATGGACCCGGCCGTCGACATGATGGACTCGGGCCGGTGGTGGTGCTGGTGGTGGAGGAGATTAGGAGGGCCCGTCGGCGTCTTGTCGCCCTCGCTGCCGCTGCTCGCCCTGCTGGCGCTGCCGTTGCCCGCACCCGGCCCGAGCGGCTTCCTGTGTGCGCCAGTCGACCACTGCGCGTCCTTGAGGCTGATGACGACGGGGTCCTGGTCACCTGCCAGCGAGCTGCCTCCACTCTCTCGGAGCTTGGGCCTCCTACGGTCCATGACGCTCTCCTGCTTGGTCGTGCCGGCCGTGATGGCTGTTGGATCGGTGCCCGACCTGTGATTCCAGCCCGTCAGGGTGGCGTGGGAATCACCGTGGTACCCTTCGTCGTCGTCGTCGTCGTCGTTGTAGTCATAGTAACCGTCGGCTGATGGGCGTGGTGCGGCGTTGGCCGAGGTTGCGTAAGTTGAGACGGAGAACCGAGAGGGTGGTTGAATCCAGCCGTCGGGCACTCCCAGACTGTCGGCGCCAGTGGTGTCGTTTGACATCGGAGCCGAGGGCGGATTGGCCGCTGTGTAGTTCTTGTAGTTGTAGGGGTCACCCTCTGACGAAGTTGAGGTGACACTGTCCTGGGCTTGATGTGACTGGGTTGTTGTGGGAGCCGGCTTCCGCCGAATGGCAGACGTGGGGGATATGACTGAAGGGCTCTGGGTGCCCAGGGCCGCGGTCTGGAGATTTGTTGTTTCAGGTCCAGATTGAAAACCGGCCTCGGGCCCCGAAAACGGGGGGCTCGGGTAGCCAGCGATAGCGCTGTTGGCCAGGTGTTGGGACGAAGGTGCGGCCTGGCGAGCTGTCGATTCTAGCGACTGAGGCTGAGTTTCAGCTCCGAGCGGACTTGCAGGAGGACTGGCCAGAGCGCCCACAGCGCTGCCCGTCGCTGGGCTCTTGGGCCCCCGCTTGCGAGGAATGTTGAGCGGGGCCGTTTCTGGGTTGTCGTGCACTGGGGCGACCAGCGCCGTCCGACCACTGGCGCCCTTCCACGGCGGACGCTCCGTCGTGAAGGCGCCTGCTGCGGGGTCGTAGGCCGTGGCCGACATGGGCGACGACGCATGCCGCGGCGACGGCGACGGCGATGGCGATGGCGACAGTCGTCGAGCCGACGGGCTCATCTCTCCTCCTGCAGACACCTTCCTTTCCGCTCCCTTCGTCACGAAGCCCGGCGGCGCAATCCTCCGCAGGCGCTGCCCAAACGGAGACGAGCCCTCGGGGCTCGCGCTAGTGCCACGCCCGACCCTATCCGACTCGGGACTGTGGCCCAGTCCCTTGGCGTATTCGGCCGGCTTCACTTGGCTCGGCCGGCCCTTTTCGCTCGACGTCAGCTCCCCCGTTGACGGGTCCCAGCGCACCTCGCCGCCCGCGTAGCCTCTCCTCGATGCCGAGACGCTACGCGGCTGGGGAGGCTGTAGGGTGTTCATCTGCTCGCGCGACCTGGATTCCCGCAGGGCTGCGCCGGTTGCGGCATCCTGCTTCTGGCGGCGCTCGCGGCGCAACGAGGCGATGTTGCCGCGCGACGCCTGCCGCTGGCCCGCGGCCCCTTGCTGTCGCAGCATCTCGTCGTAGGGCTCTTCGTCCTCGTCGATCGGGCTTATGTCGGGCACTGGATGGTACGTTCTGCGGAGCCGCTTCATCAGCATCTTCCAGGTCGGCATGGTCGGCACCGCTCAGGGCAAGGGGCTTTGCGCGGGTGGTGCTTTGTCCGTCAAAGCGCAAAGTAGCGCGACGGCATGCGCGCAGTTATGCAAAAGCCAAAACGGCCACTCGAGCACGACGTCAGGCGCTGTGCTGCAGACAAAGCACACCGGACTGGAGCTCATTCCTTTTGCTCCAGGTCGGGGGAAGTGAAGGAGACTCGGACCTTCTTCCCGAACCTCGTGTGCCTTCTCTGCATTGAACATGCGCGCCTGCCTCATTGCTTTCGGCCACAAACTCTGCAGGTGCATTCTGGACACATGACATGACGTGCGTAGGGACGCGCAAGGGGCTGTCGCACTTACCCATTCGCATTCGGTGTAAACGGTTCTGGTGAGCTCGGCGGAGAGACGTCGATGGACTCTTGGAAGGTGTAAACCCTGTTGGGAGCGGCAGGGGCGAAGTTGGTCTGGATTGGACTCGGCTGGGACGAGTAGATGGACGATGCAGGGCGGAATCGAGCGTCTGTTGGCGGATCGAGTTGGGCCGAGTCTCGGTTCGGATTCCGGAGCGGTTGGTCTGGGGGAAATGCGGACTGCTCGTGGCTGTTGGTGGTGATACAGGAGATGGATTAGTCGAGACGCTCGGAGCGAGGAGGAGAAGCAAATCTCTCTTTCTCTGGGCGTGTTTGGCGCAACTCGCCAACGAGCCCTTCCTCTGGGACTGGGACGCGCAGAGCGACCGATCCTGGGGCAATTATCCCGTGTTTGGGAGATATGGCGTGCCCCGCCCCTGTCGCAGGTATGGGCCGGGGCTGCCCAGGCCGAGTCGTCCCAGTTGGGCTTGACAGGAGCCTCCGCGAATCCCGAATAAAGGACTAACTTCTAGAAGACCCTGGCTTTGATAAGAAATAAAAAGAAAGGCAAAACGGCACTTACGGGTAACACTGCGCCCTTTGGTCGGTGAACTCTCGCGGCGGGCGCCGCGCTGCTGGACCGCCCTGGACGGAGCAGCTGTACCCCCCGTTGACACCCACTACTCCCCCGCCCGTGAAGACGTCCCCATACTGCTGTGACTGCTGCTGCTGCTGTTGCTGTCTTGAGTCTCGACGTTGCTGGTGGGAACGTCCCAGCTTCTGGGGGACGGCCCCTCGGAACCTATCCCACATGGTGCCTTCGAAGGCCGACCTGGCTGTGCAGCCCGTCGGTCTGCTATCGTCAAAGCACCACCAAAGCACCGATTCGAATCCAAAGCCTGGGACTCGGTTGCAGATTCCGTTCCGACTCTGGGGAACAGCCCACGACTCCACGCTCCCTGGTCGCTGGTTTCAATGCGCGAGCGTCCGGGTCAACAGATGGCTCTGGCGTCAAGCAGGCGGAAATCGAGAAAAAGGGGCAGCACTGGACGGAGCGCGGCACTTGGTATGGCGGGTCGGCGAGTGAGTGTGATCGGCGTCGGGGAGTGTGAGTTGTGGGTTGTGATTTAACTGTTATGTCATGCGGGCTCCTGGCATAAATGTGGTAATCGGTCGGTGCAGCGAACCCGTACTTTGTTGTTTTCGCTTCCGGAAGCGAACTCGGGCGAGTTAAAAGAGAAGGAAGAAACTGGGAAAAACGCTCACGACCACTGAGTGTGCATCTTGTCAGAAGGGAGATTACACATGTGCACATACGGGCTCCTCTGGACGCTTAGGTACAGGTAACCTTGCGTCTGGGCTGGCCAGCCTGAGCCCGCTGGCGCCCGCTTTGACAGGCGGGCGGCTGGAGAGGCGCAGGGCGGCGAGGGGGTGGGGAGATGGCCTATTTCCTTGCATCGCGAGTGGGGTTTGACTTACTGGGCTGGCCCTGTCTGCTTGCCTTTGAATGCGAGCAATCCGGACGCGAGCTCCAGAAGAATTATCAATAATTATCCCGGGGTTTAATGTTGCCCCTGGCTCGACCAATTGATTCCCAATCCGTCTGCGCGGCTGTCACTCTTCCGACGTCCCAAACCTCGCTGGGGCGGCACGACGGAGAGGTTGTTAATGGTGATGATGATGATTATGGACTTGCTTTTTCTGTTGTTGTTTGTTCTGTTGACAATCCCCTCGACCTCGATCTTAGGCCACGACGGCTGGTCGCAGAAGGATGCAAGATCTGTCTAGTCGTGTTGGTTGTGGGCTGAGAGGCTGTGCGGTCTGGGCCCCTGGCTTCGCCCGGCGAATAGGAGCTCAGAGCGGCGCTGTGGCACTGTTCGATTGGCGGCGACAGGATACCAAGGACTGAGAAGCGAAGCTGGGTAGCCCGCCTGAGATGCAGGCCGAGAACAGCCAGGTTTGTTTATATATCTATTTGCAGCCCTGGACGGGGCCTGGATCCGATGACGCGCTTGCTCACAGATGCGGCGGCCGGCAAACAACGGTAGCGGTAGCGATGGCTAATACTGGCCCGGGACGAACGCAGGAATCCAAGCGGAGCAGGCCCAAGCGCTCGCAATGCTTGGCTAGGACTGACCGCGGCTCTCTGCCCGTCAGCCCTCAGTCCCTCCCTGCGGGCATGGACTTGTGCTTCGTGACGGCGCGCGTCAGACCAACCCATCACAAGGTTACCCCAGCACTCTCCGCCCTCTCATTTCGATGCGAGCCAGCCACCAACCACCACACCCCACACACCCCAGATGACACTGCTACTGTGTGCAGTGCAGTCTACAGCGCAACAGTAGCATCGCTGCCACAGGCGGGCGAGGGTGCGTGGGTGCAACGCCGGCAGATAACCGTTCTGGATGGCACCCTAAATGCCACCAACAGGTTCTAGGTGTGGCGGGCAGCGACGAGAGACGAGGATAGATGCTATCGCTCACATCGCTACACAAAAGCGCGACACCCCCCAAACACGTCTTCTGAGCCAGTCGATTGGGTCTGACCCAGGACCCACAAAACGTTTACTTCTTTGGCCGCTGTCTCACCCACGCCACCCTCCATCCTGGGGGCCGTCCTGGGCCAACACATTCTAAATTAGCCACTCGACGTCTGGCCGAGGACCCTTCAGTCCCAGTCAGGGGCTCCGACGGGACGCCTACGGCGATCCAACAATACCTCTAGCCGAGATACTGGCTCTGACCATTGAGGCCAAAAGGCTGAATTTTTCTTCTTATTTTGTCCTGTTCGGCTCGGACTGTGCCGGGGCGGTCATTCGCTCCATTCTCCATGTCCACATGTCGTAGGAACAAGTAGCCGATGGCCAAGCTTCGTGGTTGTTGCAGCTGGCTGTTGCAGCTGGTTAGAGACAAACCCGCAAACCCTTCTAGATCAACAATGCGTCACCCAATAATCGATATGTTTCCCTAAAAATACTTTGCGACGAACGCCTTCAGCCTTGGCAGCTTTCACGCCACCTTTCTTGACATTTATCGAAACCGCGGCTTAATTTGTCTGCACTGGCCCCGTCAGTCTCGTGCTCTCCTTGCCCATATGGGACGATGGGAGGCCCCGCGGCGGCCATGTGCAACTGTCGCAGCAGAAGATGTCGCCCCCGCCACCGCCACCGAAGGGACTTATCCGAACACTCATAGTACTCGGTAAATATACGCTTTGGTAATTTGGTAGCAAGATGCTGCGTCTAGCTCCAAAAGGTCTGGGGGTGGGGCTGGTAGGTGCCCCTCCCCTCACGTCATGCACAAAAGTCTGGTTCGACGTCAACGCGCCTCAGGCCCGCAAAGACGCAGACACGCGACTGCGGCTCACGAGTGAGTGTAGAACCGTTTGCGTTCAGGTAATCTGCAGCCAAACACGCCTGCTTTCGGTCATCTAGGCACCTGGTATCGGGAAGCCGTATTTTCTGCCTGACGCATTGGTGGGCTTTTTTTTCTCCAGTAGCACGCGATTCATCCTGTCCTCTCGGCGGCCAACATCTGCTCTCGTCTACCTGGTATCTACCTACCTATGAACAATCTCCTAGGCCTCATTTCATATATACGCCGAAAATAACAATCCAGAAGTATCAGCAACCTGCGACAAAATGGAGAACTCCCTGAGGCGCCACTTCTTCCACCACGGTGGCCAAGATGTGAGTTCACTCATCAAGCTGCACAAAAACAAGTGTCTACGGGCGGTACCGAGCCCAAAAACCACACATCCATAGCCGGCTAACTTCCCGACCAGCCCGCAGTCACAAACAGGTCCCGGGAGGTCCGAAAGTGCCACTGGTGTCAGCTGCGCTCTTTCGAGAAGCACGCTCTGTACCCCATCTCGATAGTCAATGACACCGATGACCTTCAGACGCTTCCGCAGAAGTTCAAGTTCATTTCCGAGAACCACCTGGGGCCAGGCGTCTCGCGCGCAGAGGCTAGCTTCCGCAGCGGTTGCGAGTGCGCCAACCCCCAGGACTGCATGAAAGGAGGTTGCCAGTGCCTCGAAGAGGTCGACGATGAGGTCAGTGACAGCGATGACTACGAGGACGGCAAAGGCTCCGGCGCGTCGGAAAAGACGCTCTTTTCCTACTACTCCACCGGGCCCAAGGCCGGCCTTCTCAAGAAGAGTCGGCTGCAGAGCAGGCAGCCGATTTATGAGTGCCACGAGGGCTGCAGCTGCGGGCCAGACTGTCCCAACCGCGTGGTTGAGAGGGGCCGGATGGTGCCGCTGCAGATTTTCCGCACCGATGACAGAGGCTGGGGTATGTACTTTGACGGTTCCATGTTGAGCGCGGCACGGTAGCTGATCAAAACCAACCAACATTAATAACATGGGTCGAAAACGCATAGGCGTCCGCTCAGTTATCGACATCAAGTGCGGCCAGTTTGTGGACACGTACCTCGGCGAGGTCATCACGTCCGATGAAGCCGACCGTCGTCGTAACGAGGCCACAAACGCCCGGAAGAAGGACATATATCTATTCGGACTAGACAAGTTCATCGACGAGAACTCTCCAGATCCGCGGCTGACAGGGCCGCCTCTCGAGGTTGATGGTGAGGACATGAGCGGTAAGCGGCCCCGGACTGTTCATCAATGCTTTGCAATCGCACCCGAGGCTGCGGATAAGCGAGAAAAATCCTGGCTGATAGACACTCGACAAACACGCAAAACGTATAGGCCCATCCCGGTTTATCAACCACAGTTGCGACCCCAACATGCGCATATTTGCGCGTGTGGGTGATCACGCGGACAAGCACATGCACGACCTGGCTCTGTTTGCAATACGCGACATCCCCAAAGGGGAAGAGCTGACATTTGATTACGTTGACGGTGTTGACATTGATAAGGCGTCCAAGACGGACGGCCACACAAAGTGTCTGTGCGGATCTAACAAGTGTAGGGGCTGGCTTTGGTAATAAAGGACAAGGGCATGTGGTGGTTAGCATGCTAGCAGGCCAGTCGAGCCAGTTGTCGAGAACGCAAGCTGTGTTTTCATCCTGACAAGACACTGGCAAGTAAGCCAACAGCGCAGCTTGCAACAATAATTACGCCCGTTCTAGTTGGTGCTCATGCAGCTACTGGTCAGAAATATCTTTGTATCAGTGGAACTCCGTTGTTGAAAGTTGTGACTTTGTTAATATCTTTTGAAACGACTTTGTTTAGAGATTGCTGCCTATTCTTCTTCCTCAGGCCAAAGTCTCATCGTTCTAGGAAGCAGGGGGGCTGGTCACTAACCGAAACGGTATTAGTCACGTGAGCAAGGCCGAGGCCAGACAGGGTTCCATCAATAAACGAGATTCGAGATTTTGCGCACGACATTGGCAAGAAACGTCGGCCAGGGCTCCTTGGTGTGAGATCATTGCATGCGGCTACCACCGAGTCCAGTCAGCGCACTTGTCTGTTGCAAGCCCATTCGCCTCACGTACGTCGGACGGTGTAAAGCAGGCAGGCGTAAGTAGGTCTAGGGGAAATAAAAAAGGTGTAGGTGCAGGGCGCGTCGACCATCGACCACCATCCAACCCCCCCGGTTGGTTTTGGCCCCATGCGCCGCCCCTGCCCGTTGAAGCCGCAGCGCCCCCTCCCTCCCAACGTCCAGGGCGCAGAAAGCGCTTCTCCATCCTCGCTCGCTCGCTTGTGCTGCTGCCGCCGCGCTCGACGAGGGGGACATGCCCCAGATCCAGCCTCCCCTCCGCGAAACCCGCCTGTGCTGCGTCGTGAATGAACGAGGGGTGGGCGGCTCCGTTTTGGGAATTGAACCTTGTCTTTATTCTTTTTATTTTTATTTTTGCTTTGCGTCGCTTCTTTGGACATTGCTCGATTGACCTTGGCCCGAATTCGGTCGCTGCTCGTCATTACTGTACCTACCTTTTCCCTTTGATTTCATTTTTCCGGCTTGTTCTTTTTTTCTTTTTCTGCGTTCTCGGTGGTTTGCGATATACCCTCCCCCTCGTACGAATTATGCCCGATATCTGACGACAATCTCCTCGCCTTTAATAATTGACCATGGTAGGTTCGGCCGCGGTTTCATCCCCGCCAGGGGGGCTGTCTTGCGTGCCGCCGCCGATTGAACCTCGGCTGTGGCCTACACGGCTTCTTGGCTGCCCGAGCCCATGTTGGAAGCTAATTCCCGCCGCCGTTTGATCCCGCTCTAGGGCTGCTGCCTCTCCCGCCCGACGGGGCCCAACTCCCCCTACCCCGGCGGCGACGCTGCCGCCTCGGCCTCGGCCAGCGCTATCAACCAGCCTCCGAACCCGTCGGCCCCGCGCGTCCTCACCCGCTCCAGCGCCGGCCCCTCTGGCGCCGCGTCTGGCGTCGCCTCCTCCGCCTCCCCTCGACAGACACAACAGCAGCAGGAAAGTCCAGATCGCCAGCAGCAGGAGCAGCAGCAGCAGCAGCAGCAGCAACGACGGCGCCACCGCCATAGCCAGCAGCCGCTCTCGCAGCACATAAACAAGCCCCTCCGCCGCCACCGATGGGTCTCCCGAGATCACATATGGACCCGCCAAGCCCTCGCTCGCGAGCGCGCCGACTTCTTCGACACGCGCGTCACTGGCCGCGTGGAGATATGGCAGACCGTCCGCGCCGCCTTGGAGGTGCTCTGGGAGTCGGCCCCTCCACCGACCGCCTCGGCAATCTCCCCTGCCACATCGCCGCAGCAGCAGCAGCCGTCATCTGCGGCGGGGGCGGCGACGGCAACAGCGGGCGCCGCAGCCGCAGCTATCAGCAGTAGCAGTGGTGGCCACCACCGCGACCGGCCCGTCACCAGCCCCATACAGCCGAACCAGGACCAGGACGAGGCGCTGGCCACGGCGCAGAGCATCCTCAGCGCCGCCGAGATCACGCTGCCGTCGGGCGACCTGGCGCAGGGGGTCTACGACGCGCTGGGGAACTATTACTCCCTCCCAGAGTGGGTCGTCTCGGACCCCCTCAACGCCGTCGACGCCGAGGACCTACCGCCGGCAACGGACGAGGAGGAGGATGAGGATGGGGACGACGACGACGACGAAGACGACGTGCTCGTTAGCGATGCTAAGCGCAACGTCTACGTGGCCGCTAGCAGCCCCGCCGATGACGATGACGAGGACGATGACAACGCCGCGCACGGCCGGCGGCGCGGCGAGAAGGGCAAGGGTGTCGCCCCCGCCGTCCCGGAGGAGACCATCAGCGTGCGGTGCCGGCTTAGCGAGAACGCGCGCGACGTCGTGGTGACGATTGGGAAGAGCGAAAGCGTCAAGAGCCTGGCGCGGAAGATTGTTGACGAGGCTAGGGTGAGCACCTGTCAAGCCCCTTACCTACCAGAGCACGCACTGCGTCTCTTGTCTCGTGCATGTCATGTTTCAAGCTAACCATTGTGACCTAGCTGCCGAACAACTCTCGTGTCCGCATAGCGTACCTCGGCAGGATCCTCCGCGACCACCCTTCGCTGGTCGCGCAGGGTTGGACCGAGGGCCACGTGCTCAATGCGCTGGTCTTCCACACCACCCCCTAGCGCGCGCACGTCTGTCCAAGTTTAACACCTGGAGAAGTTGTGCACGGGGCCTCGACGCGCCCGCTGGTTGACATCACTAGCAGGATACCCCCATTCTTTCTCCGGATACCCGTGTTGATATAGCTTGGTGTGTATGCGGATACTGGAACGCCGTTCTTTTTGGTCGCCACACGAAGTCGACGGGGCCGGCGAAAGATGGCTACTGACACCAGGGGACTCCCTCGCACTGTTTTTCTCAGCATGGACTTCACCCCTGCTCGTGAGAGACTTGACCTCTCCTTGGCAGCTCATCACGAGTGAGAAAGAGGTGTTGGGGAAAGGGCGTTGGCGGGATCCCTGAATTTGTCCTGGCTTTTCTGCTGCATGGTTGGCGAGCACTGCAGTCTAGTCAACAGAGCAGCGCGCTTATGGTTCTGAAGCGCTCTAGCCTCCCATCTCCACATAGCCTGATGACCACCACCGCCACCACCACCAGACTCCTCCAAAGGGCCCGAGATGGCCCTTCGTTGGACTGCCGCCTACTCTTGGGCGGCGTCCGGCGAGCTATTGTGTGCTCTCTTGGCACCACACCACACATTGGAGCGTTCTGGAGTCTCGTCGCCGTACCCTTTGTACTTGCTAGCGCTTCACAATCCAATTGTTCCGACAACAGCCAGGACATCTCGTCCACTGCACATAGCCTGTCAGGGCCACTCAGCGCTCCCATCACCCCCGTTGCCTCTGTCACTCCTCTGGACCTCTACGAGGCCATGATCTTTGTATTCTTTTTCTTCACACTCTTTTTGCCCTCTCACGACCCCTTCTCTTGTCATGTGTGGCATTCCGAGCGGACTACGCGCCTTTTTTTTTGGTGTCTTTTCTTTTTTTTTGTTATATAATGACATGTAGTGTATAATGAATTTATATTTTTTGACCTCATTTTCACCAATGCAAGTCGTCGTGTTCAGACTCCTGCATATGCAATGGCGCCACGACGCGGAGCTTGCGATCTTGCATAGCAAGTGACAATCCCCACCGCGCTAGAGAGAAAAAAGGCATTCCGTCGTTACTGTTTAAGAAGAAGAAGACAAACCATTGATTTTTCGCATGCCGTAGTCTCGACTCCGTTTCTGTCTGTCTCCAGGACCTCCAGGACCAAAATCCCACCCGGCCCATAAGTAAAAACCCTGCTGCTAGGTAGGGAATTCTAGGATCGTTGCAACACCTTGCGTTTTCCCTTGCACAAACGCGATGTTTACAGGATTCTCCTTGACATCGGCTTGATATCCCCTCCTCGACAGCTGCTATCCGTCACCATACTCGGCGCCTCTAAAGTCTTTCCTGACACTAGATAAAACCTCCCGAGACAGGCGTAAACCCGGCCCCAGTACGCATGGCGGGGGCGGTCATGGTACCACGTGGCTGAAAAAAATTCACTCAGGCCGTCGTATCGGACTCGAAGGTAGGATTCAGAATACCATCCTCGGCTCAAGAGGTAGTTCCGATCTTGTTCAGTCCCTTCAGGGACCCTAGACTGAGAGCCAGGCCCTGTGAGCGACTGCGTATCCGGACAAAGCCCGTGATGGGACCATCGTCACCCTCCTTCTCGATGCTGAGATTGGCCAGTGCATCCTCGCCTGCAACAAACAAAACGTCAGTCAAAGGGTGTTTGGAAGATGGGGGTTGGGGAGCAATATATAAGGAGAAAGTGCGCAAAAGAGTCTCCAGGGGTACATACCAAAGACACTCCTGGCGTACAGGTTCGCGCTCAGGAACTGGCAGTCGCCCTTGAGTCCGGCCTCGGGGGTCAGGCAGTTCATGTTGGTGGCACGCATCAGCTCGTCAAGGAAACCCCTAAGCGTCTTGACCTTGCTGTTGATGTTGACCTTGTTCTCCCATTCGAACTCAGTCCACATGGTCCTGAACTGCGTCTCGGTGCACGTGGCAGGCTGGATGTAGTCCATAATGTCCACATGGACGTCGCTCAGTATGACGACGTTGGTGTCGGTGCTGTGTGCGCCGTCATAGACGACGTTACCGAATATGACGCCTGTGTCTGTCGATGAGACCTTGATGGTGCACTGAACGTTGTGGAAGTCGTGCGGGCCCAGGTTCTGTGTCGTCGGCCGCTCCACCACCTTGAGGTCCCCGAGGGTAGCGAACTCAACTGACAGGTTCTGCAGCGTCTCGGTAGTCTGGTTGACCAGCAGGACATCCAGCACAATGTCGAACTGGTGCACCTTGACATAGGCCTCGGCGTACACGGGATCCGAGAAGCCCGTGAGCTGCACGACTCGACTCAGCTTGCTGCTAAGGTCCTCGGCTGCACTCGCGTCTCCGCCCGTGGCGCGCTCCAGGTCCGCCTCGATCAGGTCGGCCCCATCGCCCGCGTTCTTCTTGCTGAGTTGCCGGATGGAGACGACGTCGTCGACCTGGACGGCCGTCTTGGCCCGCTCCACCGCCTCCTTCGCCGCCCGCTTCTTCTCCTCAACCGCCACCATGGCACGGAAAGCCTTCTTGCTGTCCTCAAGGTACACCTTCTCCAGCTCCTTGCGCTGCGAAAACTCGGCCAGGCTGCGCACGCAGCTCATTATGCGGTCGACCGAGTCCTCGTCGATCGGAGCCTTGACAAACTGCGACTGGCCCACGCGGATGATGGAGATCATGATCAGCATGGCCTCGGCTCGCAGCGCGTTGGTGCGTTCGTGGCCGGGAAAGATTTCTGAGTAGCGCATAACCAGCTTGGTTAGCGTGCCCGAAAGCACCGTTGCTAGGTAGTAGTCGCCATCCAGGATAAGTTGGCGCAGCGGGGGCTTCTGTGCCGCCTTAACCGCCTCGAGCTTTGCGGCGGCCGCCGACTGGCTGGTAAGGGCCGTTTCGGTTGCGTATGTACCATCGGCCAGCACTTTCCTCGAACCTGTTGGAGCCGCGGCCTTGTTGTGGCCGTTGACCTGGTCCTTGTCCTTCTCCTCTTCTCCATCAACGTTGTCCAGCAATCTCTGCTCCGATGCTAGAATCGGTATCTCCCCCAGGCTAGCGCGGATCCTCTTCCAGGCGTCTCTAATGTCCTTGTCCTCCAGCGAGTACTCTCCGATAATCCAGAGGATTCCACGGTAAATCTTGCCGGCGCGAACCTCGGCCAAGGTGTCGACGAGCCTCGAGACGATCGAAGGGCGGAGCGTGGGGAACTTTTCCACTACCTCCTTGACGAAGTTGATGACGTCGACGGCGGATGCGTTGTTGAAGTCGGCGATGAAGTCCATCAGAAGCTCCACTACGCTGGCGGCAACCTCGGAGAACTTGATGGCACACTGGTGGATGGAATGGATCAGGAGTTGGCGGTACTCGGTGTTCTTCTCGTACTCCTGGTCGACCGTCTTGGACAGTTCCTTCTTAAGCAGCAGCACAACCTCCTCGACGTTCTTGCTCGAAACCATGTCCAGGGCAATGCCCAGTGCTTTCCGCCGTACATCGATGTCGGGGCTGGACAAAACACGTAGGATCTCCATGACGAGGTCGTCTAGGATACCATCGTTGTTCTTCCTGAGCCTGTCCACACGATCCAGCACAATGAGCTTGACGTTGTTGTCTGCCTCCTTTATACTGAGCTCGATGAACTTGGTGGCGGCGGCCTTGACGGCGACGGGGTTGCTGGTGAGCGCCGTCAACGATGAGGCGGCTTCGTAAACTACAGTGGAAGCACCGGCTTCCAAAAGGTCGAAAATTAACCGCAGATACCGGGCCTGCAAATGTTAGCACCACCTCTTAACGACGGCCGTCCCTGGCCACGGTGTGCGGTATACACTCCTACCTTGTTCTGGGAGTTCTGGACAGCATCTTTCCTGATGAACTCAAGCTCCACCAGCTGCAAAAGCTCCTCGGCGTTGGGGATACCGTCGAATACGGTGCTGAGGTAGGCAAGAGCAGCATCGTGATTTATGGATGACAGAGCGGCGAATGCGTTCCTCTTGCAGGTCGGATCGTTCTCGCCCTCGAGGAAAGTGGAGATTAGTTCTGCGGCGTCGGGGATGAGAGAAGGCGAATGTTGGTAGATGGAGGCGACGGCGAAGACGGCGTTCTTGCGCACGTATGCGTGCCTGTGCTCGAGACACGACCTGGCGGAGGAGAGGAGTGGCTCGATGAGCTCGGCTTCCCGCAGCTTGCACAAGAAGCGGAGCGTGTTGCCTCGGATGTATTCGTTGGGGTGTTGCAGATCGTTACGGATGCCGTTGCTGATAGACGCCAGGGCCAGGTCAGCAACGACTAGGATATATAGACGGCATGAAATGCCTGTAGAGCCTGTACAGGCCTTCCTCCGTTGCGCGGTGAGCCTTACCAAACCAAAATCATCTCCTGCTTCAGCTTCCCTTGGGCGTCCAGCTTGGGACAGATCTCGTAGTAGAAGTACAGCAGCTTCTTCAGCGGCTTGGACTTGGACGGCATGACGAAGCGGATGATGTGCATGAGCAGGGACGGCATGGGGTCGCCGTTGAGCATGACGGTCAGGATGCGCTTCATGGTGCCGACCTTGCCCTCATCAGTGCCCTTCTCCAGCTGCGTGCGCAGGTCGTTAAGCGAGGGCACGTCGGCGGCATTGTCCTGGTGCACCAGGCTGTACGCGTTCTCGAGAAAGCCCGACATCTTGGGCGAGGGTGGAGGCGGCTAGCCTAGGCAACGGGAGCTTGGTTGCGAAGCTGGCGAGGGTCGAGCCGTTGGGGCCCTCGTTGTTTAATATGCGGTGGAGGGCTGGCAAGGAAAGCTCCTCCTGTTGCCAGTGCTGTAGGCAAGACTCAATTGCGCGGTAGCGCGGCCACCGCCAGAGTCCGAATTAGTTTCTTGCACAGGGAGAGCGAGAGCGGCAGGCCTGGCATTACCCAGTCTTGGTGGTTGGCAGCTATGCTGTTGGATAAATGGATCGTCTCACCAGCCCGAGTCCAGGAGATCTGGCCAGCGCTGCATGGGGCCTCCTTTTGCGCATCGCGGTGGGACAAGTGGCAGCAAGTGGAGGGCCGTCACGTGCAGGGATAGGTACTTTTGGCGGCCCCAGTCTGCGATCGATACTTTGCTCCAAAACTCACGGCGAGGAAAAACCCTTTCCGCTCAGGTTCTAAGCTCCCACAGCTGAGTCGGTGCCCCACCAGGCACGAGAGACCCACGCATTCCCCTCCATCCCGCCGCGGTGCTCCAGCCCGGCGGTCTTCCCCTGCCCCACCTGTTGGTCCATCCCAGTCAATTGCTTGGAGCTCTGCGAACGCCCAAAGACGAGACGCGACATTCTCACCACGTCACGGCACGGCAAGATGGCTTCTATCAACGAGCAATTTTACCTGCGCTACTAGTTAGTATCCCATGCTCAGATCCCCCGCCCGCGTAAAGCTGCTGGTTGCTGATCAATTGTCGATTTCATAGCTCTGGCCACTCTGGCCGCTTCGGCCACGAGTTTCTGGGTACGACTCCTAACTAGTCCTCCTCTCCCCCACGGCGCAACGCCCTTCTCGTCTCGACATGCTCTAAACCCTTACGCTAGAGTTTGACTTCAGGGTGGTTGGTGACGGGCGAAGCGCGATTGCCCGCTACGCAAACAACTCGAACTACCGGAATGACAGTTTAATCAGGAAAGAGAGTATGTTTGTCGCATAGGCTGGATTCTCGATGGCGATCCCATTGGCGGTCGCATGCTTCTTTAGGGGAGATGCGAGCTGACAGCCAGCTTTCCTGCCGCCCTAGTGAGCGTCAGCTCTGTCGTTATCGACGAGATCAAGAGGATTGTCAAACTCAGTGAGATCCTGAAGTGCGCTCAGCCCCTCACGCCAACTCGGCGCGCTCGCTCGCTGAAGATAGCACAGTTGCTAATCTGGCGGCTGTGTAGGGAAGATGACAAGAAGTGGCCACCCAAGAACAAGGATGGCAAGCAGGAGCTGGAGATCAAGATCGGAAACGATCATATATCTTTTGAGGTATGTGTCGATGATCTGGCATGGCCGGTGCCGCTCGCCGTCGATTTCGGAGTGGCAGTAACTGACATGTCTTATAGACTGCCAAAATCGGGTCGCTCGTTGACGTCAACGAATCCGCAGACCCCGAAGGGCTGAGAGTGTTTTACTACCTCGTACAGGATTTGAAGGCTCTTGTCTTCAGTCTTATCGCCCTTCATTTCAAGATCAAGCCTATATCTTGAAGCCTTGCGCATTTGTGGGGACATGTTGGCATGGAATAGTGCAGTTGTTGCGATACCCTCTTTCTTCATCACGGGTGGCAAGGGAAAGAGCGATGAAGTACCGGCACAGGTGCGTAATCGGCGTGTATGTTGTCTTTATGGAATCCTAGCGACCGTCGACGCTGAACTAAGACCTTTGAAGCTCTTTGCGCGCTCCGAGTCCAGGGAATGGAAGCACCTCAAAAGGTCTATCTTGTGTTGGCCGCTCCTCTAGGCTAGGCACATTTGGATGATATCGGAGCAAGACGGCTGACCGAGACTAGCTCGGATCGTTGTCTCATACGAAAACTAGCCCAAGGCCACTTCAGGGTGGCTGATGCTGATGATGGGCGGCTCTTTCCTCAACTTTCCATTCTCTCCCTCTCCCCCCGACCTGCTAGCCTACAATCCTAGTTGCAAAAACACGGTACATATGGCGGGTGTCGCATAATCTCGGAGCAGCCCAATATACCGGCATCCAGAGACAAGCTATGGCGTGTTTGAGAATCGGGATTGACCACTCTTCGTGACATGCTTTTCAACGAAGTTGGGACGACCACACGGAGCTGCCGCCCACGCGGCCAGCAGGGTTGAAGGCGGCATGCACGAGAGTGAGACTCGGACCAATTACAGCTCCTGGCTGCCATGCATCGGTTGCTGCATAGGCTTTTGCACCAAAATCGGCGTGGCGCCCCTTGAACCCACCACTTTCTAGATAGGCTCGCAGGCTTGCTTTTGTCGGGGCAGATGACGACAGGCGGCGGTTGAGCGAACTAGGGTTAATTGAGAAGTCGCGATTCTAGAACCTACATCGACTGTGAGGTCTGATAGTCAAGATGGCGATTCCCCAGGGCTAGGCTCTGCTCCAAACAAGCAGGAAAAGCGTACCTAGCCTACAGCTCTGTCCGGCCACCTTCCAGTTTGAGGAAAGGGATTGGCTCTTGGAGGGGCGGTAAGCGACGGCAGGGTACCTAGATACTACCTAGTAGGTACCCAAGCTGTCGAGCCCCGATGAGTGCGATGGATATTGCAGCTTGGGATTGTCGAGCATATTAGATTCGTTTGGTGAGGTCAGCTGTAGGAGATTGAAAACGGATTGGAGCAGCGGACGCTTTCGTTTAATCCAGTCGAGTGTCTCAGTTTGCACCCGAGCAAGGATTGCCGATCCACGACGTTGGAAGCGGAAGGCTAGCTCTGGTGGTGGCTTGGAAACCTCCCCACCTCCCCAAGCCAGCGCTGGGGTGGATGCTTGGAACTTGACGCCGTTGCCCAGCATCACTTGCTTCTTCCTCCGCGCTTGTTCTCCCCGACCGCCTGGTCTTCATCGTCATCCTACATACCAACCTGCTGTGACAGCTCGTCCTTGTAATATTCTACCTGGCATTTGCTCCCCTATTTTGGCACCACCCTCTTGTCCTCCTATAACCTCACCACACGTATTTTTAACCTTGGCCGAGTCGTTGGCCTGTTGGTTGTCCCGTCCCAATTGTTTGCACCGTTCCCATCCGTCTGGGTCACCCCTGTCTCCAACTGCTGCCCATCGCCGACGACTCGATTCGGGCCCGATTGAATCAATCACCTGCAGGAATAGCCCGCCACGGCGAAGCGGAAGAAGGGGACGAAAACCAGGAGGAAAGACGGTCAAGTCGACGGGATAAAGCAGCCGGTAAACCGCCGCACGTGCTCGCAGCCGCACGGCCCAACTGGTTCTAGTTGAGATCCGGGGTCCTGTATGTCACGCAGCACCCCAGCCGTTGTCTATTGACCCGTTGTCCATTGGGCGCCATCAAATCACCACCCCAGAGTCCCCCGTCATCGCGCTTGGCCGCCCCAACCCATCCATGCTAATCAAACGCGATTGTGCCGATTTGAAAAGCCACCTGCGAAAGACGCTCACGCCCACGCCCCTCCCCTTTGGGCTGTCAATATCCGTGCCCTCGACGCTGCCGCCCTCGTGCCGATTCGATTTGCCGCTCGAGCCCTGACACCATTCAGCTTCCGCTGCCGAATCTCTCAGATCCCATTGACGCCTTTGCTGCCCTGCCAAACGCCCCGACCACGCCCGCGGCGACATCATACCGAGCCGCCGCCCATTGAGCCCACCACTAGACGCCGCTGGCTGTATCCGTCGCGAGCGTTGCGGCCCGGCCCGATTCGCTTTAGCACCCCAGACACCCACCCCAGCTCGGAGGGAGCCTCCGCGTTTGAATAATTTCCGTCCTCCCGCTGGCCACGATCTAGCCAAGCCTCGAACGCCCTTCCCGCATCTCGAGCGCCCTCCCACCGGCGACGCCTCGTTGCCGGACCTGACAGCCATGCCCACGCCATCGTCCTCTCACACCCCCGACCCGCGTCCACACCCCTTCGCATCGACGTGTCCCGATGACCAGCAAGACACGCAGCCTCCGTCGCCGTCAAGCTGGCACCCCCTCCCACCACCGCCCTACAGCAACAGCACTTCGCAGATCATAGTCGGCCTCCCAGTGTCTACTGGGCTGCTCGCCGCCGAGTCGCCCGAATCACTCGAGTCGCCTCAGTCTCCAGAATCCCGCCCGACCTCAAGCAGCGATGTGGATGGACCCTCATCGTCGCTCGGCCGTGAGGAGACAGCCGAGACCTCCATGACTACTGAGGAGGATGACGATGCGCTCAAAGCTGCTGAACAGCTGCAAGAAGACATGGCGAGGCTAGACGGCGCCGTCGATGGTGAAGTCGCCATAAGCGGTTCGGGTGCACTTTCACACCAGGACGGAGTGCTGGTCTCGCGATCCTACGGGTCCAGCTCGAGGAGGCGGCGGGCTGCCGACGCGCCCGGCTCACTACGAGGAAGACGAAAGGCGCAAGACGAGGTCGGGGAGGATGATTATATGCTAGTCGACTGGGAATACGACACCTCGGTAGCAGGGCACGTCTTCTCCCAATTAAGGGTACGTTCCAACCTCTTGCAGAGGCACCCCGGCTATCCCGCAATTCGCCTTAGCTGCTCCTGCCGCAGGCTAGGCTAGGCTAAGCGCACAGGCCCGTCCGTCCCGACCCTCTTGCTGATCGTTTCATGCACCACGCACAGATAATTCCGACGACGCCGTCTTCATACCTGCGCCCGGGCAGCAAGTTCTACGGGACGCAGCAGTCCGAGCGTCAAGTTTATGATGTACAGGTTGAGATCAAGCACGTGGACCTGAGGGAGTCGTTTCTCTGCGGGTACCTGCGCATCCAAGGTAACACAGACATGGCCGATTTAGGCTTCTTTACGGCGTGGGGATTTTTTTTTGCCTATGCCTCGAGAACGCAGTCGCTGACGTAGAGGGTTCAACGAACGCTAGGTTTGACCGAAGACCACCCGACGCTGACGACATACTTCGAGGGAGAGATAATCGGCTCCAAGTACTCCTTCATAACCAAGAACGAGTCCTGGGGCGCTAATGACAAGACGGACCTGACACACTGGTCCAAGTTTGCCGCCTTCCAGCCGCTGGCCAAGGCTGTGAAAAAGGGCGGCGCGGGCGCCGTCATCAAGGATGTTGCGCAGCGCGAGCACATCTTTATGCGCTGGAAGGAGCACTTCCTCGTGCCCGACCACCGTGTCCGCACTATTAACGGCGCCAGCTTCGAAGGATTCTACTACATCTGCTTCAACCAGATAAGAGGCGACGTTACCGGAATCTACTTCCATAGCAAGAGCGAGAAGTAAGTTTTCCCGAGGCTTTGTGCCGGCCCGGTGCGACTTGGCCCAGTTCCTGTTCCAGCCCTGGTTCTAATACGGGAGAAAAACAGGTTCCAGCAGCTCGAGCTCAAACACGTAGAAGACAGGGGTTGCTACGGTGCCCTGGAATTCCGGTAATGCGGCGGTGGATGTTTGTCCACAAACACACAGCACGACGACTGCGATCATGGGCTAGGCGACACAAAGGCCACCTCTCACGAGAGGGGTGGGAGATGATGTACGAGACATTCGCCGCCACTTGCTGCCTAGGTTCAGGGCCAATGGGGACACACTTTGGAGACCTCCTGGGGCGATTCGATTCATGGGGCGCTCGGAGTCGTAAGATGGGCCCTGGCTGTCCGTGGCGCTCCCATGGTTGCGCTGGGCCATGTACATGCCATGCGAGATGATGACGGCATGAAGGAACGGATGCTGGCCGGAGGCTGTAGCATTGGATATACACGGGGATCAGAACGGCAACAACAGCACATTTCGGGTCTTTCTTTTCTTTACGTGTGAGTGTTCCACGAGCGGTTGGTTGTGTTGGCTTCGCCGCCCTCCCGTCGGCCCCTTTCCTCACTGCTGGCATTGGGAGCTTCCATCTCATTTTACTCTTTCAATCATTAAAGCCAGGCCTAGGCTGGTTCCGTTTGGTCTTTTTTTTTTTTTTTGGAGGTACATAGCATTGGGAGGTCTTACAGCAACATGGAATTCTTATATGGGACGCCTGGATATCTTTTCACAAAACCGGGCGGGCGCTGGAGCTGCTCTCGCACCATTTGTTGGGCTTGCCGAAGCCGGTGGTGAGCTTTCTGTGAGGCGTTCTCCCCTGTTCTTCGTTTATTTTATTTGGGTTGTCTTTTTTTCCTAATGGGTGGCTGACGGTGTCCGCTCGATGTCGTCAGTCTTGAACTTTGTAAAGTAGCCTCTCCTGAACGGGTTCAGCTCGTCCGCCGTCCTGCCCTCGCTCTCTCTGGCCGCGCGCCTCTCCAAGGCCTCACACAGCGCCACGGCATCTACCAGATCGTCTGGTATCCTGCGGTATGCAATCAAGCGTCTCGACCCTAAATAGAAAGCGGGATACCTTGCATTAGAACATGTCCTTCCGAATAGCGCTTCGATAGGAGAAAACACTCGTCGGCGTAGACCCGGCAAGTTAAGCACTCTGGCCAAGGTTGTTGCTTTAAAGGTGTGTTGGGGAGTACAAGATATACATTTGTTGAAGGTCTGCACGCAAACCGTTACCAGCTCCATGCAGGGGTGCGTCGGTACGGCCAGCTCCAGCAGCTCGTCGTTCGCAGTCGGCATCCAGAAGGCGAGCCGGCCGTCGTCGACCAGCGTTTCGGCCGCGAAGGTCAGCAGGTCGTCCAGCATCGCCAGAAAGCTATATGGCTTTTTGGGTGGGATAAAATCCAGGTCTCTGTTACAAATGCAACGGGTATTAGCAACTCGGACCGCCAGTCATAAAGCGGACAGGCAAAGCAGAAGAAGAAGAAGAAGAAGCAGCAGCAGCAGCAGGGGTGATAAGAAAGATAAGAATAACTTACTTGTACATCTCCATGCCCGCCTTGACGACGTGCGCCTGCTTTTCGTCATTTCGGACTCCGAGAACCCGCAGCCCCTCGCGTACGCCATACGGCGGATCGCACACGATGCCGTCCAGCCACCGCCTGTTCCACCGAGTGCCGGCGCCGGCGCTACCCAGGGGGCACCGCCTAATGGGGGAGTTGGTGATGTCGGCACTAAAGGTGTCGGCGAGGCCGGCCAGCAGGCCGTACTGTGCAAAGTTGCCCCGCAGGGTCCTGCCGGTGTCGCCTTGCTCGTCGCCGCGGACAGCGCGGCCGTCAATGTCGCTGCCCCAGGCCAGGGCGCCCCACTGGGCGGCCGCGACGGGGAAGCTGCCGGTGCCGACGAAGGGGTCGTAGAACAGGCGGCCCGGCCCCGCGAGGGCGATGTTTGCCGTCACGAGGGCGAGCTCGCTGTCCATGCTGGTGGTGCTGATGTAGCGCCGCCGCTTGAGGTCGAAGCGGGCCAGCAGGTCGGCTCGCGGGCTGGAGGCGAGCACGCGGCCCAGGTACAGGCGCTCGGGAAGCTCGAGCCCCAAGGGCACGGCGCAGTCGGCCCAGTGCTCGAGCACGACGAGCTCCGTGTCGGCGCCGCGCATGCGGATGGGCCCGGCGAGCGGCAGGTACGAGAAGCTGTTGATGATGTCGACGATCTTGCCTTGGGTCCGCGCGCCCCGGTACGAGTCGACGTTGAAGCGCCACGAGGCCGCGGCGTGCGCGGGCCACAGGTGCGCCGAGTCGGACCGCACAGAGGCGTGCAGCTCGTCGTAGGTGTCGCCGCGGCCCCAGAGCTCGTGGATGCTCTGGCTCAGCACCGAGCGCCGGATCAGGGCGGCCGCGGCGGCCGGGGAATCCATCTTGAGGATGCAGAAGGGGGACTAGTAGGGTCGGGAGAGAGAGAGAGAGAGAGAAAGGGGGTCAGGGGCCGGTTCGGGTGTCGCTGCCGTCGTCAGGAGACAGGCTCGGCTTAGATACGGTGCAAGATATCAAGGGGAAAGCACGAAGGCGCGAGACTGGCGGTTGCTAGGCTGCCACAGTGTTGGGACATACATCTGGATCGTACAAAACCACCTCCATCTTCACACCTTCGACGATGGCCAAGGCCTGGATCTCGGCGAGGCGGAAGGTTTCGTGGACCCCGCCAAAACGCAGGAGGAATTCCATCTTGGGACGTCTGAATGCCCTCTCACCAGGATCCACTGGGAGCGTAAAATGAGCCCTTGATGGCGCCTCCAGTGTGTTGGGCGCCGACCGATAAGGATATTTGTTTAATGCCACTGGTTGTCTCAAGACTGAGCGAGACTGGTATAAAATCCACGAAGCAGGTCTGCGTGGGATGTATGTGAGCCCCGCGGGGTGGACTCTGTGATGTGTGGGACTGGGATGCTGACACATTGAGTGCCTTCGGTCTGCGGTGACACCAAATCGAGATTTTTTTTAGCGTCTAGAGTCGGCAAGTCCTGCGCCCACGCCCACGCTAGGGGTGAACGGGGCTTTTTACCGCACGTGATGCGCTAAAACTCAGGCACCAACCCCCCCAGTGAGTCGCTAAACACACGGCAGTGTGCGGCCACGACTCGATCTCCGCCCCTGTGGATATTCAACCAGCCGCCAATCGAACCTTCAATTTTGACAGGCATTCTGCTTCCTACATCGCTCAGCGCCTCTGTGCGACCTTCACAACGTCTCCCTAACCAACAAGACGCAGTCTCGCCATGCTACCCTTGAGGGACCAGAAAACGGTGTACCAGACACCAAAATGCTACTTCAGCTACGGGATGATGCCGCATGTCGATACGAAGCAGCCCCCGTCAAAGGGAAAGCCATGGACGGCGCTGGCGGCTAGGGACTTTATACACCAGGTGCGCCGCCCGCCTTTTATAAGCACGCAGCTCCTGGCCTCGCCCAACTGACGCGAATTTTCAGGTCGATCTTGTTCTACCGCAGGATGCTTTCAAGGCATTCAAGGAGCAAGCCCTCGATGGGAAGCAATCGCCTCAGTTCAAGCGGGTGGTCATGACGCTTGGCCAGGTGATCGAGAAGGATTTCTTGGTTAGGTATATCAAGACCGGTACGCTGTTCCACCCTAGTCCTCATTATGGGCAGGCCAGACTAATCAGGAGGCGAACCGCCGTCCTCTAGGTAACATCTTGATGTTGTCAGAAGGTAGACCGGGTCAGGATAACGTCTTCACCATCAAAGCAGGTACTGTGGCCCACATTAGAGGTGGACTCTCTTTGGTCCCCTGAAGTCACTGACACTGCCTGTATTAGGCAAGCTCACCATGTTCCTCGACAAGGAGACATATGAACGCGCCGGTATGGTGGGTGAGACTCATGGTGTCAAGGGTGACAGGTGCTCCAAGCCAAGATGGAGTACGCACTAGTTCCTTTCTCGGTGGCTACGGCCGACACCCAACTGTCCCTGACTAACACGAGAATGTTCAGTTGTCGAATACGACCTCTGCGCACCATACGCCTTCCCGGGGAAGAAGGGATTCGACAGGCTTGTATACGCCACCAAGAACGCGATCAACTTCCCAGTGGCCTGGCTATTTTGTAATCTATCAAAAAGTAAGTCCATCTCGCCGCGCCACCCTGCTAGCCCACGCCCGGAAACTGACATTTGATGTCCAAGCCCCTGACCCTGATCCTCTGGCTGCCCATTTCCCCACCACATTCACCTCGTCGCCGGGCATAGTCCAGTCGATTTCAGCGCTCGTCCCCTCGCTCAAACCAAGCCCGGACACATCGGCTCTGGGTGATAGGGAAGAGTCCGAGCGGTTCGCAACAGAGACGTACGAGTGGCTGTCGTTGATCCGCCTGTGTAGCCCTCGCGTCGCGCCCGACGACGACGTAGACCCGTACCTGAGCCTGTACCGCGTCCCGGACGACAACCTGCCTGAAGGCACCAAGGCAGACACCCTCTGTAAGCTGACGTGGCGCGGCCTGCTCCCCGCCGAGTGGGCGCGAGGCCTCTTCATCGACGCGCTCTCAGCCGTGCCGTCCCGCGCCTGGTTCGCGCTCAGCCTCGGCGCATTCGACGCTTCCTCCAGGGGCCTAGCCAACGGCGGACCCGAGCTGACCGTTATGCGCCCGCCTGGAGCCCCTGGGGAGTATCTGCAATGGGAAGTCAAGAGCCACGAGTGAATGGGTCACCGGAAACTTTTGGCTCCCCGTTCGGACGTTCCTTTTTCTGCGGGATTATCTCCAGTCCGTTTGGCTCCCTACTTTATACCCCCTTTTTGGTATTCGCAACGTCCATCAATGAGAGCCCTGACCTAGACGGCTTGACCATCTGATGTTCCAATCCGTTCATTCTCCTTGTTCATTTGCCTCGTGTTGTGTAGGGATGGCTGTCCCCATCACTCGCCCTGTCGTGGCCGCACGCTGCGCTCCTCGGCCAGACCCTGTCCGGCGAGAACCTCCTCGACTAGCTGGCGCAGCTGGGCCTGGCTCTCGGCCGGGCTCAGGTCCTCTCGTGTCGCGAGCTCCTCTATCCTCCGCCTGAGCTCCGGGTTCGGTGGCGGGACGTCCTCGGTCTCGGGATCCGGCATGGTGCCCATGGTGACGGACAAGCCCTCGGGTGGTTGAGGCAGACCGGCGCTGCTGCTGCTGCTGCTGCTGCTGCTGCCGCCGGCGCCGGCAGACTCCCCGTTCGCGACGCCGTTTGTGCCGGCCTCCTTGCGCCTCAGGTACTCGACGACGTCTGGGAACTCGTCGTCGGCCTCGAGCTTCTGACGGGCCGTGAGGCCGTCGTCGCCCCTCAGGGCCGGGTCGAGCCCCAGCTCCTCGACGAGCGCGCGCGCGGCCGCGACCGTCTCGACGACGAACAGGGCCGTCTCGCCGTCCTCGTCGCGCAGGTCGACGGGCACGGCCAGCTCGCGCACCAGGGCCCGCAGCAGGTCGAGGTGGTTGTACGACGCGGCCGCGTGCACGAGGCTGTAGCCGTGCTCGTCCTGCCGCGCCGCCAGCGCCGGGTCCTCGCGCAGGAGGGGCAGCAGCGCGGGGCTGTTGTCCGCCGCCAGGAGGTAGGGGTTCTGCGCCATCGCGCTCGCTGCTGCTGGCGTGGCGGTCGGGGTTTTTGTCCTCGAAAGCTCCGGCGCAGGTCTTGGGTCCGGGGGGGAAGATGCTGCTTTTCGTTTGGTTGCTGTCTTGGCTGGTTTGCTTTTCCCTGGCAGCAGCTTTGGGTGTAGCTTTCGCTTCGGTGCTGCCCCTCCAAACAAAATTTCAGCGGGGCCAGGCCGATTACGTCACATCATCAGGGTCCTGCAGCGCGAGTGACAAGATGAAGTGGTGGGTGGGGCCAACTACCACTGAAAGTTGTTTGAAGATCGGAACCAGGCCCGACCCGACAAATTTTTGCAATTAACTTTAAAACACGTAGACTTTATTAGCAAATCATCCCTAACATAAGGAGTATAATAAATGGAAGGATGTTGCCCTATTCAGTATTCCAACAACCAATCCCCATTCCCCATTGAAACGGGCATGCAAGTGCTGGAGGAAAGAATAAAGCTCAGTTCCAATGGCTAGGATACGTAATAAGTTTTTCATGAAGTCGATATATTAAAGCTAAGAGAATTCCAAGTGGTGAGATAAAACCAAAGCCATAGTCCTGCTTCAGCAGGCTGTAGTTTGCTTACGAAACTAGCTTAAAACAAGGCATCTCAACTAAAAGTCACCGCACCCAAATAAACGCGGTAGCACGACCAGTGTATTTTTTGATAAACGAGGGACTCTACTGAAGTGTACACTATGTGACAGAAAGCGGTGCTCCAATCCCTATTTTAATCCTAAGTGCGTCTCTTTTCAAAGCATCCAAGAGACAAGGAGAGGAGCAAAGAAAGATAGAAGGCGCGACGAAACTGTTGACTGGACGGGCCGAGAGCTGCTGATCGAGACCAGAAGTGGCAGGCGTTCGCAGAAGCACTGCAAGCTTCGGTCATGCCGTTCTCCGGGTGCTGGCGTGGCGAAAAACTCTAGCAGCTGCAGCCGCACGCCTTGCAGCCGCTCGTGGACTGGCTGCACGACTGGCCAGTGTTGCAGTCGCTGTCCTTGCCGCAGGTGTACCAGCCTCCGAAGCCGCCTGTTTTGGGTGAGAATTCTTTGTGTCAGTTTTGTGGCTTTCTCACTTTGAAAAGAAGAGAGAGAGGATTAAAAGTTGGAAGAGAGAAAAAAAAGCCTTACCGTTGCGAGCAGTCCAGCACCACGGACCGTCGCCGCACTTCTTCCAGCAGTGGCCGTCGGTGCAGCCGAACTCCTTGCCGTACCAGCACGCACGCTTGTGCAGGGGGTTGCCGAGGAGGTCGTCGTCGCGCTTGGCGCTGGAGGCGGCGCGGGGATCGTGGGGCTGCTTCCCGGGCGCGAAGGGCTCCTTGCACTTGCGGATGGCGCCGAGGTCGACGTCGGGCCTGTCCTTGAAGTCCTCGGGCTTCCACTCCAGCACGCCGAGCTCGCCGCAGTCGGCGGGCTCCGTGGTGGCCGGGACGGCGGCGGCGAGGCCGGCGAGCTGAGCGGCCATGGCGACGAGGGTGATTGTGAACTTCATTTTGGCGGCTGCGTGGTTGGCACTGTTACTCTATTAGTTTTTTGGTGTTTGGACGTTTTTATGTGCTTGTGGGATGGGGGATGGCTCGGTGGCTACCTTGAGATTACTGCGGTTTCAGGATGGAATTGTTGGTCTTTGAGAGCGAAGGTCTGATGGAAGCTTGAGGTTCTGCTGAGCTGATGTCCTGATGAGCAAGAGAAGTTGTGTCCAGACGGCGAGGGATCTCAACTCTTTATACTTGGAGTTCTCTTGGCTATGTGCATACTTACTGACTCCTTTCCCGTCTATCCGTCTATGTCTCTACGATCCCTCGTCCATCAGATCCTACGGTCTCGGCTCCTCGTCATTGTCGCGTGACCCCGATGTACTCTCACCTCCAGTGCGACCGACCCCAACTTGCTGGCAGCTCCTGTTCGCGAAGCAGCTGGTGGCTTTGAAGATCCTTGGGCTCCCGCCAGATGTAGCCGAACACGCAGGTATCAGTAGATGTGTGAGGACCAGTGGAGTACATTGCACTCTCACCACCCAAGGCGCATCTTCCTCCCTAGACGAGTATCTTGGGGTCATATAACGCACTGTATGGCTTGGCCCACCTAAGACTTCCTTGTCCGACTGTCGGTAGGTTCCCCGCACCAGGGAGGCGTTACACAAGGCCTCCTAAACACCGAAATCTACTCGGGAGTTCCCTGTTTGGAAGTCTAATGACCGACAACTGTTACATGGATCACTAGTGAGACCATGATGTAGGCCAAGGGGTGCAGAGCAATGGGCGCAATTGTAGGTTGGGTCCGTTGGGAGTGGGACCCTGGTATGATTATGCTGTGAATTGGATTCCAGCGAGGCAGGAATGAGGAATAGTTGTTGATCGCCCCGTTCGTGGGCGTCTAAAATATGTCGTGAGATGTTGTCCCATTTGGGCGCATAAGTGCTTACGGGGTGTGGGGGGTTGTGGCGGGAGCCGATCGTTCAATGTCCGAGAACGCATCACGATTGGGTAAAATGACGACGAGATGCCGTGGCGGCTGAACCCGACGCGGGGATCCAAACTCCAAAGGGGGTTAGTCTTCGACTATACGGCATGCCAGACTGAGGTTCGCTGACGCCGAGAATCCAGGGGGTTCCGCCTCTAAAAGGTTGGCGGTGGCACAGCGCATTGTGGCGTTGTGAACAAGCAAGTTTCCTTCGGGGCCTTTTTATACGCGTAAATGCAGGATTGGCCTGGGCGGGGGATCCAGATCTGCGTAGGAAGATGCCAGGGGAAACAGGCGATGGGAGCCGGGTCGGCTCCCATCACCATCTGCCTAGGTAGGTACGTACCTAAGTGGTTCGTACGCCTGATGATGATTTGGTGTATACCATGGCCTCGTGGATGAAAGGGGGGGCCTTAAGCCGATATTGCCAAAGGCAACATCGCCCATCTAAGCCTGGCCTTTGGGCTTTAATGACACACCCGGCTGCAGACGGTGGTTTGCCGTCGTGATGGTAGAAAATACCAGCAGGATGTCACCGCATTTCGACTTGGCGACAAGGGATTCTCCCTGAAAAACACGATGGTGTCTCCTAATCCCACACAGCAGCGGCTAGGTGATGCTCAGGCGTGGTGGGGAGTACAGGATAGCAAGGGAAGAATCCCGCTCAGAGCTGTGTTTTGCTCCCAAGCTCAAGTTTATTCTTTCCGGGACAATCCTCGAGGAGTGTGCCAGACCGCCAGGCCCTTTGGCCAGCTTCTTTGCCCAGGTCTCGGCGTGCATCCGCAGGAGCAGCGCGCCTCTGATCGCAACGTAACAGAAACCAGGCCGAAGCTAACTGGGCCGCATGCACGGCCAGCACGCCGGGGAGCCCGTGGCGGAACGGAGGGGCGCCTCGGCGGGGGAAGGCTGCGCCGGCTGGTCACAATAATAGGCCAGCCAATGGTGCTCATGGACTGGATTCCATCGCGGCCGCCCGCACCTTGGCGTCGCACGTATATGGCCACGGAGGCCTGAGCTATCCACTCGAGTGCTGTGAGATGTAAGCTTCCTAAAGGTGGAGAGTTGGAATGCTTTGCGTACTAATTGCTGAGGCGGCGATGTGTAAAAGCTCCCGTCGCCAATGGTCGTAGCCAAGCATTTTCGGTCCCATCTATTTTTGAGGATACAAGCGTAGCCGTGAAAGTCGGCCCAGAACGGGTACCTATAATCCCGGGATTTTATAAACTTGGTTCAAACTCTTGGATCTGCACACTTGCACCCAACGACACTCGAGGGAAGGGGCGTGACGGCTGAGGGATCGGGAGAGGCCAGAGATGGCAACCGCATTCAAGTAGGCTACATGTGCCAGGATGCCTGGGCGGGACAGGATGTGGGAGGGGTTGCATGCCGATCTCCTCCGGCTCAACTGCCCCACGATGAAGCCCCTGGATTATGGAAGCAGCGAGCGGTCTGCAGTCGTCCATTTCTCGCCAAACGGCTATGTCAACGCTGACGGCACGGCCTGGAGATGGATCACAGGCATAGATTCATGGAGTGCGACAAGGCGGAGGCGGAAAGACATGGCGTCCGTCATATGGCGCCCATATCCTAGGGGCCAGGCTGACCCGAAGGTCGACAACCCCCAGTATGTATTCAGAAATGAGAGCATCAGAACAGCGGGGTGGCGAATGTGTGGAACGAAAAGGCGCACAGATGACAAAATGAAGATTGCTCCGAAAACCATGGCCATCAAGTCGAGCTTGCGCGTTGGGGGCCGGTGAGGGCGGCCATGACGCTGACTCACCGCTGGAAGGCTTGGGCGCCAGGTGATTTTACCAGAAAGCAGGGGGCACACAGAATACTACACTCTCAAACCGTGGAATGCCTGCCGAAGATAACCTTTGTCAATGTTGTGAAGCCACTATTCTATCGTATATTAAGAGCGGGCCAAGAAACCGGTGTGGCTTGACGAGGGGCTCGACCTAGAAGTCGGGCGTACTAGAGCCGGGCTATATATGGGACAGCCTCCGACCAAGACCGCCAGCAAACGGTGCTCAGTACACGTAGGGCAGAATCTTCCACCTCACGATGGCTTTGTACCGCTCCCAGTCCTGACCATACTTGCCCGCGCACTTCTCGTCGTCCCTGCTCGCGCGGTGAATCAGGAGGCAAGCAAAATAGACGACGTAGAGATAGGTGAACACGACGCCATACCACTGGGCCGGGCCTGGGACGACCTCCCTGCCGTCCAGCATCCGGAAGGACGACGGGCCATCGTCGCCCTGGCCGCCAGCCGCCAGGATGACATATCCGGCCGCGCCGGTTGGGAGAGAGTAAGGCCAGGCCTGCATCCAGTCGGCCAGGTAGTTGAAGTGGCGCGAGATGCCCCACCAGCCGCTGACGAGGAGTCGGGTGCCGGCCTTGGTGTCGATGTACTTGAGGTGGGCGACGCGGGGGTCCTGGGGGTTCGAGCGGAACAGGTTCTTCTGGTTGTTGGAAAGGCGGAAGGCGGCGAACGAGGCGACGAGCAGTATGGCCACGCCGGCCATGCCCCAGGGACTGAGGGAGACGGGGTGGACGGAGAGGTAACGCATCTGCTGCGAGTGCAGAAGCGGAACCCAAACGATGTCGCCAAAGGAAAGCATCATGCCGAAGCCGTCGGAGATGATGTCCAGGGTCGTAAGGACGGCCGGCTCGTTGTAGTGGGAGTCCAGCACATATAGCGTCTGGACTGCCGTCACGAACACGGCGCCGTTTGAGACGAAGCCAAAGTTTCGGTGCTGCTTGGCAAGAAAGGCGAGGTCGAGGAGGGCCCAAAAAAGGAGCCCAGGGCGGAGCTCCATGTACTCCTTGATGTCGATCTCTCCAATTATGGGCAGCGTCACCCTAGGATTGAGCTCCCGGCCGATAAACCAGTCGTAAAAGGGGTTGCCCGTCTGACCGCCCTCGGCGAGCTGACGACGTTCACGATTGCCAGGCTTGACGCTGAAACTGCGAACATAGACGAATGTGGCCAGAAAATACGCGATGGCCATGTTGGCGGTGAGGACCTGCAAGTAGTCCTCGGTAATGATAACCCACACAGGGAAGCTGGACCCCTGAGATATGGTGCCGGCCAAACAGAGCACGAGGATGCAGATGCTCGAGGCAAAGGCTGAGTCTCCAAGGTCAGTAAAGCCAAAGGAAGGGGCAGAGCGTTGGTCCTGACGCCTCTACGTACCGTTTAGTCTGTACTTCAGCTTCCCACCACAGAAAAGCTCGGTGCCTTCCATCTCGGTGGCAGGGAGAAAGCGGTACAGCAGGGCACCAAGGAGGTGGTAGCCAAAGACGGCGAGGGTGGCCTTCCAGCTCATGAGACCCCGAAAGCCAGGCCAGCCAACCTCTTGCTTGAGGGTCTCAAGGCTCAGCGAGCGCAAGTTGAGGAGGGAAGGAGCCGGGCAGCCCGAAATATCGTTGCAGGCAAAGGCGAGGATGTACAGCAGTGCAGGGAGGCAGAAGCTGATAGCAAAGGCTCCATATCTTTGGCAGTGTCGGTGTCAGCATGGGCAAGTGGCGGGGTGCAAACGGCTAGGAGCGTGTGGGGTTTTTCCTTACGGGCCAAAGAAGTGGTAGCCATGCTTGGCTGTGGCTTTGGTCTTGGAGGCCATTGTGATGCTAACGGCGGACTCTATGTGCGAGACCAGAGCTCGCCGTTGTGTCTCTACCTCTGAGCAAGCCAGAAGGGAAGGCGACGCCCTCGGGTTTTATAGCAGGAAACAAACCGGGGTGTAGCGCAGCTAAGGCTCTTAGTAATACTTGTTTGGGAAGGTGGGCCCGTCCATTCATTCCCATCGGCCCATGGACAGAGCCCAGTTCCCGGAGCCGGCGAGTGGATCGCGAACCTTTTTGGGCTTAGACCCGCCGCGGACAGGCAAATGGACGTTTGGCCGTGGATATTGCAGACATGGGTGAGGACAGCGTCCGCGTTGGACCTCTCGGGTGCTTGGGAAGTGCCCTGACATGCGAAGATGGATACGATCATACGAAGCTATTATACAATGTACTACAGGGTGCCCGCCGCAACGTGGCGGGTGGGCCCCACGCGCATTTGACCGCAACTAAGCGGGAGGTTAATTAAAAGTGGTAATTGAACCGCCGACAACCACTTTTCTGAAGGGATTCGGATCGCAAATTAATCCTTCGCGCGCGCAAAACGTCATAATAAATTATTGCGGGTATATTCCAGGCTATATATACGTACTAGCAATAGACGGACTGCTTGAGGCTGCCAGGGAAAAGAGAGCGGACGTGGTGTGCGTCGGTGAGCCAGCGCTACTGAACAATAAACCCCGCAGACACCCAGCGTGGGTGTGTGCGGCCAAAGAAGGGCCAAAATGCAAGGCGGCAAGTGTACGTGGGCAAGCACCTTGCAGGCTGGTCCGTGGAAAACAAACCCAGATACCACTCGGTATCGGTGGGCCTAAAGGGACTCGCGGTGTCAACGTCATACTGGCACCCAACACCGGGGAGAAACAAACGAGCCCGGGCCTGGTGCGATGCACTGGACCCAGGGAAAAGGAGGGTGCTCGGGGACTTCAATGCAAAGCACCCCGACTGGAACAATAACCCCAGGTGGACCAGCAAGGGTCAGGAACTAGCAGACCTCGCAGAAAAGCTAGGGCTAGTCCTGTTGAACCCTGACAAAACACCCACCTACCGCAAAGGCAACACCCTGGATCTAGCGTTCGGGCCCCAGAGGCACACGCCAAACTGGGGTACTGGGTGTCGAACCATAGGACAGTGCCGGCCCCAGCGGAAGATCAAGTCAGCCCTATACCTCCCAGAGGAGGAGGTAGTAGAGGCCAGGGCACAAGTGGAACTCAGACTCGGACAACGCCCGGAAGTAGCAACGACCACGAGCTAACTAGACGAACAGGTGTAGCACGTCCATAACGTCACCTTTTCCTGTCTGTGCACTTGGCGAACCAATAACATTGCCAGGTCCGATTTAGCGAGCCGCTACCGGACGCGGGCCGATTCGGACGCGGCTCTCAACAAAGTGCGTCAGCCCCAGTACGTTGTACACCCACATCAATTTCTGTATCACATGGCACCATTAAATCACAGCGATTTTGTAATACCCCACGAGTTAACGCCTCCCGGACGGGAGCTAGGAGGCTGGAAAGCCATCCGGAAAAGAATGACAGAGTGACAAACGCCTGGATGACGGTATAACAACCACTTCCTACGAACAGGATTACAGCGTGGCAACCAGAGGCTTCGAAAGGATTGCAGCGTGACGACATGAGGCCCTACGGCATTATGTATAAGTAGGGCCCGCAAGATCCCCTGTCAAGGGATCTGGAGGGCAAGCAACCGTTTCTTGATATTCGGAATTCATCGCTGAATGCACTACACCCTTGCATCTCCAGCTGAGTAACCTGAACCTCTGAGACCTCCCCTGGAGGACCCCTTCCAGTGCACAACACGTCACAGATTTGCCCAGGCCCCGTGGGGTTATTTCGGGCTAGTTCCAAAACGTTCCCGACGGGTAGTGGCGCAACAGTGTATGGAGCGGCACGGCCTTGCAGGCTTCCTCCAGATCGCAAGTTGGAGGGCCACGACGTCACGTGACCACGTGACCCCTGCAGGGGGCAACGCGCGGATAAATCTCTGCACGCGTTACCCGGTGCAACGCACCGATTCTCTTCTTTGTTTTCTAGCTTTTAATAGCCAAATTATCAAAGCGCGTAGGGCGGATAAACAGTAGTCAAGGCAAGATGGTATTGGGTAAAGAGGTCGGCCAAAGGCCGGCCCTGGGGATCGTGCGTGAGGCCTGGTCATATGACCCCCTGTGTCACGGCGACGAGGGCAGGAGACAAAAGTAAGCAAAGGAAGATTCTTCCTGGTAGAGGGACAGGCCCGAAGTGCCCGGGCCGGTAAGAAGTGTTAGGGCACGCCGCGCCATAACACCGCTGTGCATGGCAGCGATTAAAGGCTTCGTATAGGAGCCGAGTAACTTTTGTCACGGACCAACCCGGAGCTCGAGGGCCCGGCCGAAGGCACGGCACTTATGGCGGCGTGCGCGCACGGACGTCATGCGGACGTCAAAACGCTCGTCCGGTGTCCGGCGAAGCGCACGCATTTGCATGGGGCAAAAAAATATCCAGGAATTGTACGGTAACTGCTAATGGGTCGATACACATAAAGCAATATTTCGGGCACGGCCTTCGTGCCACGGCTACCAAGGGGTGCAGCGACTATGTGATTAGCACGTAGCTCTACCCCGCCATAGACAGATATCCCCGCCTCGCGAAGAGGCCCACAGGGCAGATTCCTTGAATGAACAACTTTCCGCACCACTAGTTTATTGACCCCCCATCTGGCTCTAACACTTCGCCCCGGGTCCAAAAAAAAAAACATTTTGCTAGTATTTGGCAGGAAGGCGACCGTAGGGAATGCGACGCCGGAGGCTTGATATTACCAACCGGCAGAACGCCCTCGCGGGCCATCGCCGAGCTCTTCCGCACTGTGGAGCGTGAGCATGGAGCCTACCGCCGGATCCTCGCATTCTCAGTCTCGCATGGCTACAAGTCAGTGCGACGGGCACTACCCCGTGATATCCGGAAAAGACGTCAAGTACCCGATCCATCGACTTCACAGCGCTCGACGGCAAGGAAAGAAAATGATGAAGAAGATGATGCAGTCGGCGGTGCATAGCGACTGTGGCGCTTGAGGGCTGAGGACCGCCAAATGTAGGGCCACAGAGAGGTGGGGTACTTTGTGCGTAAGTATCTATGCCTTGAGGAACGAAAGGCTCTTAGAAGACAGGCGCGCGAGGAAAAAAGAGGAACTGTTCTGGTGTTTTTTTTGTAAAGAAACAGGGCAGATACTCGGGGGTTGTACTTTGTGGACTGACGTCCACAACGTACAACCCCCGAGTAGATGCAGACCAGGGAAACGCGCATGGGTTTATCTGACGTGCCGACAAACAGCCAATCACGGACGAGGACGGTTCAGATGCGGCTGAGCGTCGGGCACCGATCCAGCCGAACGTCGGGTTGAAAGGGGATTTCCCTCTCCCCGCCCCTCAAGACACTTTATTCCTTAGCGAACATACGCAGTTGACCGTCAATTTGCCTCCATTAGATGCCAGTGCCTCCCTTCCAACTGGCCTATACGTTCACCACCATGTCTCCATACGATGAGCGTTTGCCGAAAGGCAGTGTGCGGTTACTCCAGCTTCTGCCCCATCAAGACCAGAATTCCCGCATAGAATGTCGACTCATTACCTGCTCTATGTTGGACTCAGGAAGAACCCATCCCTACGAGGCCCTATCGTACGTATGGGGATCTGAGAAAAACAAACTGTCTATTTATATAGACGGCGTTGAGCAGTCTGTCCGGGCAAACCTTCACCATGCACTTTCGCATCTTCGAGATTGCTTTGTGGAGAGGGTCCTATGGATAGATGCTATCTGCATCAACCAAGACGACAACGAGGAAAAAGGGCAGCAGGTTCAGTCTATGGCAAAGATTTATGCCAAAGCAAGTCGAGTAATTGTGTGGCTTGTAGACCCCCCAGACAGCGGAGATCAATCGGACAACGGAGATCAAGCGGGCGGCGGGGGTCGAGCCCTCGAAGCAATCCGTGCTGCTGCTGCTGCTAAACATGCTGCTGCTGAAGAGCAGCGTGTGGATTCCCAACTGGACGAAAGGGAGCGGCGAGCAATCCTCGGTCTACTTGAACGGAAATGGTTCCGGCGCATCTGGGTAAGTGGCAAACGATCAACCAAGTAGCAAAGCCGCTATTAACAAAGTTGATGCAGGTCCTTCAGGAGGTTGCTGCAGCTCGACACGTCCTGATCAAGTACGGTTCTACGGAAATCGACGGATATGCGTTCTGCTTGGGCTTGGGCGTACTTGGGCCGTTCTATAAAACGCACCCGAACCTGCAGGCCCTAATCCCACCGATAGCCCATCTCATAAAGGACGCAATCTTCCGGCGCCGGCATGACAGAAACGACACTAGTCGGCCAGCCAGGTTTTCCTTAAATATCCGCCCTCTAAATGAGCTGGTGGATATGTACCACACTCGCCAGGCTACCAACCCTCTCGACAAAGTTTATGCCTTGCTTGGCATGAGCTCGGATGATCCTAGGATCAAAGTCGACTACAAATCCTCGTGGAATGACCTTTTTCGCGAACTTGTTAACTTCAGCCTCCCCAGTGCGGTGTCTGTCAGCACATGGGACGCCAAGGAGGTAGCAGTGGTAGAAGCCAATGGCTACGTTTTTGGGGAAGTATCCTCCGCCGGGGATGATATGGAAATCACTTGGAAGACTGCACCCGACCATCCCGATGCGGAGGTGGAACCCAAATCTCGGTTCGCCTTCCAGGCTTCAGCAAAGGCCATCGAAAAAGGCGATGTTGTTTGCCTTCTGCAGGGAGCATCAAGGTCGACAATCATCAGGCCGTGCGACGGTTTTTCGACCATTATCAGGATTGCGGGTCCCCCTACAGACCGTCTGCCTAAGTGGTCACACTCAATAACGACCTTTCCCACCGATTTGGTGCTTGTTTGGGACTGGGACGAATCTCGAAGAAAATCGCAAGCCGGAGAAAGCTATGAGTACTTCGTGAGCAGTCGAGGAGTTCCTCAATGTCCTAGGACCAGGTGCCGGTGCCAAGGTCATTTGGACAAAGCGGCCAGATTATGGAATTCCGGAATGCTACTGAACGGAATGGAACGATATGAAGAGGCAGTAAAGTCTTTCCGAAAGGCCATGGGGGTTTATGGGACTGGGGCAGCATTGAGAAGTGTGGACAACACATCTCCTGGGCACGGGCCTTGGAGAGAGGTGGATAGGAAGGTGCTGGGGATAATGGATAGCCCCTTTTTCAAAGATGAAGGCGCCGCCATGGAAGCAAAGTATACAGAGCACGGCCGGACGCCGTTGTCGTGGGCCGCCGAAAACGGGCACGAGGCCGTCGTCAAGCTGCTGGCGGCGGGGAAGGCCAACGTTGAGGCGAAGGATAAATACGGGCGGACGCCGCTGTCATGGGCCGCGGCGAACGGGCACGAGGCCGTCGTCGAGCTGCTGCTCGCTACAAGTAAAGTCGACGTCGAGGCGAAGGACAGTAACGACGGGTGGACCCCGCTGTCATGGGCCGCGGCGAACGGGCACAAGGCCGTCGTCGAGCTGCTGCTCGCTACAGGCAAAGCCGACGTCGACGCGAAAGATAAATACGGGCAAACGCTGCTGTTATGGGCCGCGGCAAACGGGCACGAGGCCGTAGTCGAACTGCTGCTCGCTACAAGCAAAGCCAACGTCGACGCGAAGGATAAATACGAGCGTACACCGTTGTCGTGGGCCGCCGAAAACGGGCACGAGGCCGTAGTCGAACTGCTGCTCGCTACAAGCAAAGCCAACGTCGACGCGAAGGATAAATACGAGCGTACACCGTTGTCGTGGGCCGCCGAAAACGGGCACGAGGCCGTCGTCACGCTGCTGGCGGCGGGGAAGGCCAACGTTGAGGCGAAGGATAAATACGGACGGACGCCGCTGTCATGGGCCGCGGAGAACGGGCACGAAGCCGTAGTCGAACTGCTGCTCGCCATAGGCAAAGCCAACGTTAACGCGAGGGATAACCGCAGGCGGACGCCGCTGTCATGGGCCGCGGAGAACGGGCACAAGGCCGTCGTCGAACTGCTGCTCGCCACAGGCAAAGCCAACGTTAACGCGAGGGATAACCGCAGGCGGACGCCGCTGTCAGAGGCCGCGGCGAACGGGCACAAGGCCGTCGTCGAACTGCTGCTCGCTACAGGCAAAGCCGACGTTAACGCGAAAGATTTACAAGGGCGGACGCCGCTGTCATGGGCCGCGGTGAACGGGCACGTAGCCGTTGTTAAGCTGCTGCGCGCCAGGCGGAACTGGCACGCCGCTATCGCGAAACTTTTCGAATAACGACTTTACCGCCTCCCCTCCTTCCACCCGGCACCTGCCCTTACTTATATACCTTGAGCGTGGCGAATAAAAAGCCCCAAAATGTAAAAGAATGTTGTTAAGCCGATTTTTGTTAAGTGGTGGAAGCTCCGTGTGGCAATTACGTAGGAAATTTTAGTTCCGGTGGATTAGCTTTCGCGACCACCGCGTCGTAAACGCCGGCCTCTTAGACGATCGCGGCTGTAACTATGGGATTGGACGTTAACCTTCAGTCCAGGCTATCGGCCGCGGATCTTTTTGCTGCTCTCGTTTGTACGCTGGTGGCTGCGGGTACATGGAATGGAATCCGGAGGAATCCGGCATATCCGGAGGAGAGGAATAGTCGGCCCTCGCTGCCTTTATTGGGCCCCTAACTTGGGACTGGAAATCCTCCTTGGTTAAGTTGGGGGTAGAGAGTCCGTCTCGTGGTTTTGGCCTTACAGTGGATCAAGTCTCGAGCGGGGACGCGTTCGTGTCGCCCTTATACCTAGCCGGTGCGTCGCGTGCCCGCCCTTGGTTGGCACCGCTATTTGACCGGCGCCATCCCAGTAGGCGCGTGTATCCCGGTGCATAGCTCAATTAGGTACATAGACCAGGCAGGTACGTTCCGAGGTCAAGTACCTGCGATTCGCCAGATGCGGGTGCTGGTCGAAAGTGGCCTCCACCAATGGCCCCTTTTGTCACGGTTCGGCAATAGGAGCCTCCACCCACTTGCTACCAAAAGGACGACTAAGCCAAAGTCGCGACTTTGGCTTAATTGGAGGCCCAAGTACCCAATGTAAGGCTAGGCTGCACAGAGGGCACGCTACGCCATAGCACCAGGAAGAACCCCAACCTCCCGTCCCTATTACGTTATGGCTCCACGGGATGGACGCGAATCGGAGGATGCCGCCAGCACGGTCAAAGGAACGCTGTTATCACGGGGCGAATTCCTAAAGCGACCGCGCTGGAGACCATTTACGGCAGGCAGTGGACGGCTCCCGGGTACGTTGTGCAGTGGAGGGTATTCTGCCGCCATCACAACGGTCGAGACAAGGAAAAAGCTCCCAAAGTTCACACCCGACGAGCGCCGGGTCACTACCGGCAACAACTCCCGCGCATCTTCCCGCGCAGCCTCACCTTTGGCCGCTGTTCGGCCAGCTACTTGCGCTTAATTGACACTGCGGGACGGGACCCTTTCTCTTCCAACCCGGATGTTCCCAGGCACATTAAGCGAACCTTTTGGAGCGCGCGCACCGTGAGCAGAGACGGCGTGCCCCAGGAAACTATCGGCTTAACAGCATCCAGACGAGCACTGCCCAAAAGTCGATACAACGCGCCTCCGCGCCTTCGAAACGCTGATAAACCAACATTCGTTCCACGGGACGTGGCTCATTACACTACCAGGCTTACTCCGCCTGAGGCTCCAGCGGACCCTACCACTTACCACCCGACTAATCCGCACGGAACCCTCGTGCCCAAACCGCGGACGAACGGCTTAGCCGAAGCTTAATGGTACGCACTACACCATCTCCCCCTGCATCACCTGGGAGCCGCCTCGAGTATGGACTTCGGCACCGATGCCACTCCACCACCCTTTTCAGCACTATCAGCTCCTGACAACAAACGAGGTTGTGGCTTCAATCCGCTACTGGAACCGTTACAATGCTCGCGTGGCGGGGATACGGAGGCGGCGAGGGGCTTTAGCAGAGGGTGGTCAAATGACAAGTAAGGAAATCCGACTGCTGCCTAATAAAAGCAACTTGTAGGCTAGGCGGTCTAGGGGTGCATCGTGAGAGCATGAGTAGTAGGATTCGGGGATGACGGGACACATCGAGCGAGACGAACTGCTGGACGATAAAGTCGAAGCCCAAGGGCAGAACTCGCTCAGAGGCCTTGGTAAGAACGGCGGTCCGGAGCTCGACGCGCCCCGAGCGAACCGGTGTTAGGGATTTGCACCAACCAAAAAGGCAATGCTGTAGTTGTCACGGTACAGTCGCTTATAAGGACCTCGCATGGGTTGTAGCCCCAGCTACAACAACGTTCCTCTTTTGCCTTGGTGTAACAGGTACTACCTTGGTCTGGTCCCGTAACATATACCTTATGTGCTATATAGCTCGAACAAGGTAAATAAATAAATATATATATTTGTTATTTATTATTTAAAATTTATAAAGCGCAATAATAACGCGTGCACGTTTTTTCGATTTAGTAACTTTTTATACAACCCTTTTTTATTTGCTATTTGTAGCCTGTAACGAAAACGTATGCAGTTAATAAAAAATCCCCAATAACAATATACCCTGCAATGTTAGTGCACCGGGATTTTTTCCCGCAAAAATTCCCTTTTTACTAACAAATTGTTAAGGAGGGAGGTACTTTTACACGTTGCAGCCCGCAAAAAGGTACAATCCCAGTACCCGCGTTTTTCCCATTTCCTAGAGCCGGTTAGAAGTAGATTATTACCCGTGACACCAGCCTGCTGACAAAGAAAGAGCAGCGTTTGCCTGAAGCTTCTGGGATGGGGATTGACATTACGTAGGTTTGACCCTCCGAACTGTCCACCACAGCACAGACAGTGACGCGACCGCGGGAGAGCCTCTGACTGTTTCTCCATTGCCCAATCAATACTCGTGCCTTGATAGGCTGGCAAGACATCAATGATGGCGCAGTAAACAGCACCGGGCAGATTCCGACAGCTTAATCCGCAAACTCTATTACCACAATGGGCCCGGCGCCCAGCTCGGTCGCCACGATTCGTAGGGCCCCACTACGTGACGCCGCCAATTGCCGGCTCCACGTCGTCGTTGATTCTTTCGCTGATGCGCAGACATAGATCCATCATCATCCATAAGCAATCCCCCCTCAAAACACCACGCCCAGTGGTCGGCCCAGCAATCAACACCACCCACAACCCCCGACCACGACACGACACGACACGACACGACACGGCCCGATCCCGCCGAACCCTTCCCGTGCCGCCCGCTTCCCCCCCTACGATGAGACTCTCCATGGCGCCCGCCCCAGGGCCCGCCACGCTGCTGCTGGCGCTGGCCGCCCTCGCCGCCGCCGACCCGGATAAGACCACGACCACGGCCGAGCCCTGCACCGCAACGTCGACTGTGGGCTTCCACGACCTGCGCAAGGACACGGCCGTCGCGCCCCCAGAGCACGGCGCCAAGCCAAAGTCGGGCGTGCCGACGGCCGACTACTTCGCCCGCGGCTGGGACCACCCGGCAAACTTCACCCTCAACATCTGCGCCCCCGTCGTCAAGCCGGTCAAGGACGTGGTTGGGCTCGAGGGCTCGGCCGCCTGGAAGAATGTGAGCGCGCACTACGAGCTGGAGGGCAAGGTGTACTCGCTAGGGTGAGTTTTCTTTCTACGTCTCTGGAATCGTCAGGAGGAGGAAGGGCCAAGGAAAGGGCAAAGGAAAAGCGGCCCCTGCTGACACACAAACTTCGGGCATCCTAGGCAAGCATCGTCGGTCCTCACGGCGCGCGGGCGCAAGGTCTCGCTGCAGTACACGGGCGGCTCGCCGTGCGGCGGCGACGCCAAGGCCAGGGACAAGCGGGCGCCGTCGTCGGTGCACTCGGGGGCGGCGCACCAGGGGTTCGACGACGAGGCGGCGGCCGAGGCGGCGCGCCGGGACCGGGTGCGGCAGAGCGAGGCGTCGCGCGAGCGTCGCAAGTCGGCCACGCTGTCCTTCGTGTGCGACCACGACATGGTGGGCGAGAAGGCGGCCGTGTCGTACATCGGCAGCTCCCCGGACGGCTGCGCCTACTTCTTCGACGTGCGCTCGTCCCGCGCCTGCGCCGGCGTCGAGCCCCACCCGCCCGGGAGCGTCGGCCCCGGCGGCCTGTTCGCCATCATCCTCATCATCGCCGTCATGGTCTACGTCCTCGGTGGCGTCTTCTACCAGCGCACCGTCGCCCACGCCCGCGGCTGGCGCCAGCTTCCAAACTACAGCCTGTGGGCCGGCATCTGGGAGTTTCTCTCGGTGCGTGGCTTGTTGCCTGGCTTGCTCCCCTCCCCCGCCCCAAACTCTTGTCTTGTCCTCATTTTGCTGACCGCCGCCTCCTGAATGCTAGGACATGTTTGTCGTCGTCACATCGTCGTGTTCCCGCTGCCTGCCCGGGCGGCGAGGGTACCGCATCATCTCCTCGTCGCCAAACGGCAGGAGTAGGAACAGGGAGGACGAGAACCGCCTCATCGACCAGCTAGACGAGGAATGGGATGACTGAGGAGTACCCCTCGTTAGCATGTCTGCCGTCTTTGATCTCCCTCGATTCGAACGAGACCTTTCTCGTTTCTTTCGCTTGTAGTTTCTTGCGCCACATTAGACTGTCTTTACTTCTCTGTCCGCGACACTCTTCTTTTCCTTCTTGCGCGTGGCATTCAAATCACCTACCTAGAGGAGCCGGGGTCCAACCGGGCTGTGGCGAACACGGCACCTTTTTCCCCTGGGCCGATTTTCTTTTCGGTGACATCATAATATCTGGATTGTTTCATATGCGACGATTAGAACGAAAGGATGTCTTGGAGGACTGGTGCGTACGGGACCACGACGGCATTTCTTGGTATATTAGATATGTTTTGTGCGGGAATGAACCCTCTTTTTGTTTGGAAGAAACCCACTTGGCCCTCACTGTAGGTTCTGCTCATGTGAGTCTGGCCAGGCCCCGTCGATCTCGACTGGGTGGCGTCCGCATGTGAGAGGTGGCTGGCCATCTGGCTGGTCTCGTCCCGTCCCGTCTCGCCTCGTCCGAAGCAAGTGGTACTGGTTGATGTTGGCCCGACGCAACAAATCATCATTGGTTGGCTGATAGCCATGCACAAAGCCCGCAAGAGAGCCTCGGAGCCAAAGTCATCCTTACCCACCACCATGTGGCGGACGAGTTGACCTCATCATCACGAGGAGCTTGTTTTTAAGCTTCGCCGCTTGTCCCGTGGTGGCAAGCTTGCTGCCGCGCCAGCGGATACTTATAGGGCCCTTTCCTCCGTGGCAGCAGTTTCAAACACATCCACACAAACACGCACACAACAAGTTTTTCTCACGACCTGTTCAAACATCACAAACGACAACCAGCCACACCCATATCCCAACAAACAGTCAAAATGGCCAACTGCGGTTGCGAGACTTCCAAGACCTGCGCCTGCGGCCAGGAATGCAGCTGCGACAACTGCCCGGTAAGTCCTGTCGTTGTCATGTCCCTGGAATGTACTGGCTGTTTGCTGACGGGTTATGGGTGCGAAAAGACGCACAGCAAGTAATAGGACAAAAGACGAGGGCACCTTTGTCGTGCCAGGATGAGGTGTGATGCCAGGAGCCTGGGGTTCTATGGCGCCGCCGTCCTCACTCGTACGCCTGAGAACCAAGTGTTTGGATAAGATCCGAATTCGGAACGAAGATGGTGGGTGGGTTTTGAGGGTGCTATTTCTGCTCTAGGAAGGGGAGCATCACATACAGCATCAGTCCATGTTGTGCCATAGTCCGGTTCATATCAAAATCAAAACCATCGCTTGATAGTCCAACCACCCATAGCCACACCCTCAGCTCTCGTGCCCAACGCGGCAGCTGTCATCACATCCCAGCTACCGTTTGGATTCGTGCTGGTCCGCCTTGGCGTCTCGGGCAGCTGCGTGGCTTCGGCACATGTCCTCCTTCAGCCGCATGCTGACCATCCTGGGCCCTAGCCTAGCCCCCCAGCCCACAGCATCTCATCCCGCACCTCCCCCAATCAATCGAGGCGCTAGCAGCTGACTTGCATTTTGGAAGGGGCGGCTGGCTGTTTACTGTGCCAGAGGGGACCCAAAGGCGTGGGGTCTAGATCTCCAAAAAAAAAAAAAAGCAGCCAGCCACGTTTGCGCCCAAGTGTAGATGGTACCAGCTGTGTGCACGATGCTCACATGCAGACCTCCAAAAGGGGCGCGAGGGTGATGGATGATATGTACTTGCCCCGCCAGCCAGCCAGCACTTTTACAGCGCGCCAGCTGATTCTGCCCGTCTTGTCTACTGTTAGCCCCGATGCGACGCCGTCACAAATCCTTCTCCTCGTCTTGACCCCCAGAACGGCTCCAATCTCCGTGCGTGCTGTAGGTGAGAGCAGATCTGGCGCGCAGCAAGCGCTAGAACAGGTCCCTCAAGGCATCTTGAGCTGGCCGGGGGCTTGGCGTTTGCTGCGGATGCGCGCAGCTCACGAGCCCCGGGCTGCTGGAGTAGCGTCCTTTTTTTTCTTCTCTTTACCTCTGCAGCGTCGTTTGTAGCAACTACGCCCCAGTCGTGGATGGCGGGCGTCCTGCTGTCCGGTCATATAGGGCTCAACACACCCTCTTCCTGTCCTCCATAGCCGTGGTCCGATCACACCCCTTCTAGAGGTCTCTTGTCTTCTCCGTCTTGGCACCCAAATATCTTTTTCTGGTAGCAACAGAGTGAGCTTCACACCTATACGGCGACCTCCGTCGAGATATCCCGCCCGAGTCTCAACATCGGCAGTGGAAAGACGTTACTTCAACCATGGCAGTCAGGCCCCCAAGCCGGCACACGCCGCTGCAGTCAGCCCTCGCGGCCCTCACCCTCCTCCTCTCAGTAACCAGCACCGCAGCCACGGCACTTGGCAGCAGCAGCAGCAGCAAACGGGCCCTCTGTCTGGCCTCGCGCTCCGCCGAGCTGGCCGACCTCGCCGCGTGCGGCCACGCCGGCAGCATCAGCTACTGCCTCTCGCACCCAGCCCAGAGCTGGCCCGCCGCCGGCGGCCTCGGCCAGGTCCTGGGGTACGGCGCGGTCGTCGAGGCGGCCGACATACAGCGCTGCTTCGTCGACGCCGGCTGCACCCGCCGCGAGGCCGCCGTCGAGGCCGAGTGGGCCCTCCGCCGCTGCGACGAGCTCGGCGACAGCCCCAGCATGGCCGACCTGCGCCGGCGCCACCACCACCACCACCAGAACCATGGCCGGGAGGCGGCCGCGGCCGCGGCGGCCGCCACCCCTGCCCCGCGCATACTCGACGCGCGCCAAACCCAGGGCGGCACGACGACGACGACGACGGCTGCTCCCCCCGCCGCCTCGGCAGCAACAACAGCAACCACATCATCCCCCCCGCAGACAGCAGTCTGCCGCACGACCCGCACCATCTCCACGACGACGTGCCCGGTGCAGACGACGGGACCCGAGTCGGGCCGGCAGCTGCCGTGCTTCCCGACCGGCCTCGCCGTCGCCGAGTGCCTGCCGGGCTGGCGGTGCGGGTCCGACAGGCAGGGTAACCAGACGACGACGACGACGACGTGCGACCGCCTCGACGACCGCGTGCCCACGGCGGGCGTCGTCATCGGCCTCGTCTTGGCCGTCGCCGCCGTCGCGGGCGCCGCCACAATCTGCTTCTGCTGCTGCCGCGAGCGCCGCGAGCACCGCAGCGTCCGCAGGGCCGCAGAGGCCGCCGCCATCGCCCGCGGCGCGTACCCTCCTGTTGGCGACGAGGCCGCTACTGCCGCCCCGGGATCGGGTGACGGTGAGGGCGACAGGAAGCCGCTCGTGCTGCAGAGCCAGCAGCAGCAGTACGATCCCTTTGCGGACTCGCAGGCTTACCAGCCGTACCAGCAGCAGCGTCAGTGACGGGGTATGGAAGGGTACAAGAGGTTTACCATGGAAAAAAAAACCCCCCGTTGAACTAGAGTATGAATAATGGGGTACTGGGGAAATATGTCGGTGAAGAGTCACGAGTTAGCCCCATCACACGCCTCTCCTGTCCGCTCTTGATAGACACCGGTTTTATTTACAACTACTCCTAGCCTGGCCGTAGAACTCGGCCTTCAATCTCCGTATGAGTGTCGATTTGAGACATGTCCCCTTTCAGCCAGTACGTGTCTAGCCCAACCTCCTCCCTGGCCAACCGGCTACCTACCTAGGCAGATGGTCGCCGGAATGGCTGGCGCGTCTTCTCCTTGGTTGCGCTTCCCGCACCAAAGCTAGCCGGTCTTGCCGTCCCGCTGGCCTCATTATCTCCTACAGTATCATGACAAAACGCAAGACGAGGGCCAGGGAGTGGAGAAGAGAGAGAAAAAGGGATGGCAGTGGCACGAAAGGGCTGGCAACAAACAACAGGCAGAATACCATCGAGTCTGGACGAAGTGGGGAAAGGTCTCGCTCGGCGGTAAATGTGTGGTATGTGTGTGAAGGCCTCATGTTTGGAAACTCGAACGGGGTCACCATGCAAACAATACCGCGTTATTGCTCGTGTCTGTTGAGAAAACGAAAACCGGGGCTGGATGACCACAACCCATAAGCCTCTCTGCAGCCGAAGAGTGCTTCCTCCATGAGTTAAAAATCAAATAAAAGAAAAGGCAATAATCGCAGAACAGGAGATGGGCTAGGGAAGAAACCTGTCAGGGGCAAGGCGTGTCATACGAATGAGCAATACGCTGCTGGAACAAAGTAACACCGCTGCTTTCACGTGGGAAAGAGACTCAATACTTGGTTAGCACCGAATAACACCGACTCTGATGACCATGTCCTGGCATGTCGCAAACAAGGCCACGGGCCTATCCATCCCTCCCTACCCGATCCCTTTACCGCCCATGGCGCCCTGGCATCGGCGCGCCAGAGCAGCCGGGCTTGATGTTGCCCGTTGCGGATAAAAAACGAACACGGGCCGTCGGCGGATTTCAAGGCTCCGGGGGCCATCTACTGGCAACTCCACCGGTCACTACGTCGGCCACCGTGTGGGCCGCCCTATCGGCCCCCCACGGGTGTTCCCCACGGCGAGTTGCTGCTTCCAGATCCCCCACCAATAATGGGGCTGCCGATCTCGCCCAGACTGCGACCCACTGCTCGCTGCGTAACTTGGTCACTGTCGGTAGGTAACCAGCGGACGTGAACCTGGTTCGTCGCGTCGTCTTGCCGAGTCTCGAAGCTGCCGCCCCCATTCGCCTGGTTGCCCTCCGTGTCGCACAGGTCGAGAAGCTCCGCCACTGTGACTATGTCGCCAGGGTTGATGATGTCGATCTGCGCCTTGATGTCTTGGAGAGAGTTGTAACCCTTCTCAGGGTCCGGCGTCCGCGTCTTGCTGCCGCCAGACCGGTCGGGCGTCGACGCTTTGGATCTGAGCTCGCTGAGCTCCTGGCACGCGCGGCAGAGGAGTAGCCGGATCTGGACCGAACGGTTCGCCTGGGGTCGTGCGAGGCCAGGCGCGACATAGGTCGGCGACGTGCCCCAGGGCATGGCCGACGGCAGGGGGGCCATGCTTCCGAAGCCGGGCGGCGGGGCCGTGTGTCCAAAGAGGCCGCCGGGACTTGCCAGGTGTGACGGCCCGGGGTGGCTCCACAGAGGCGATCCAAAAGCGCCCGTTGGGTCCATTCCGAACGGCCCCGGGGCCACTGGTGGAAACCCGCGGGGCCCTGGAGCGACACCTCGCCGGGGGAGGCTGTTGAATTCGGGCAGAGGTTCGTCCTCGTCATCGATCAGGGCGCTCGAGCCTAGGTGAGGCGGGTCGCTGAGGTCCCCGCCTTCCTCGTCGTCCCCAGCGGCGCTTAGCGAACCCCTATGGCCTTGCACGACGCTACCGGGATGGCCGATCGGGGCAGGGCGCGAGATGGGCGGTGCAGGCGAGTCAAAGCCCGACGACGCGTGTCTCGAGTGCGACTGCAGTCCGATGGGCGAGTCCTTGGGCAGGCTTCCGTACGTGCCGATGGTGGCAAGCTCGGGCGTCTGCGCGAATCCTGGCGGAGGCGGCATGGGACCGAAGCCACCACGGCCTGGATGTCCGTTCATCGAAGGGATCGGCATGCCGAGACCGGGCGGTCCCGGCGAGCTTGGGGTCCTGAACCGCTCTGCGCCCATAGCTGTGGGGAACATGTTGTCGTGTCCCAGGCGACCCCCAAAACCAGGAGGGGGGATCATGGGGCCTGTTCCGCCAAAGAGGCTCAGTGGGGCCCCGAAGCCCATGCCGTGGGGCGGCGGCAGAGGTGGTTGCTGCTGCTGTAGATAGTTAGGTTGGTGCGGCGATTGCTGCTGCTGCTGCATGCTAGCTAGCCGTGTTGCTGTGTCGAGAGGAGACGCGCCGTGGTTACCAACTCTGCCCAGTTGCGCGAGGGGCGCCGGGCTCATGTGCACGGGCGTGGTCGCCTCTGGCATGGTATTTTGGCCCGTCACCATGGACTGGGCATATGCTCCATGCATCGACGGGGCGGGCCCCGAGGGCGCCGTGTTCGGGTCTTGCTGAGACGCCTGTCTGGGCCGCGCAGGGGTTGGGAGCTTGGGAATAACGGGTGTGGCGACTGGGATTTGCGGCGACGCGACGCTGGCGGGAGGGTTCTGTGGGAGGACCGGGAGAGCTGCACTCGGTTGCTGCTGGGACGGGCGCTTAACCAGCGTTATCGGCACCGGTGCATTGGCGAGGGTCGCAGCCTTCTGAGCCGCCCGCTCCTCCCTCCTCTGCTTCTCCTTGGCCTCCTTCTCGGCCTTGGCCTTGGCCTCCCTGTCTTGCCTCTCCCTCTCCTGCTTCTCCTTGCGTTCTCGAGCCTCGCGCTCCTTTTGCTCGCGTGCAGCCTTCTCCTTTTGCTTGGCCTCCTCCTTGGCCTTCTTTTCCTTCTCCTTGGCCTCGCGCGCTTTCCGCTCCTGCTCCGCCTGCCGCTCCTTGAGCTCGTTCTGGCGTCGTAGGCGTTCGGCCTCCTTTCTCAACCTATCCTCCTCCTCGGCCTTCTTCTGTGCCTCCTTCTTCCTCCGTCGCTCCTCGGCCTTCTGCCGCTGCTCTTCGGCCTTGCGCTGCTCCTCGGCTAGCCGCTCGGCCTCTTCGGCAGCACGCTCGGCATCCTTCCGCGCCTTCTCCTCGGCAAGGGCTTGCTTCTTCTGCTGAAGCTTGTCCTTGCGCTTCTGCGCCTCCTTTGCCTTCTTGGCCTTGCGCTGATCCGCCTCTCGGCTCTCCTCAGCCAGCTCTTCCAGCAGCTTCTCTTGCCGCTCTCTCGCCACCTTCTCCCGGTAGGCTGTGAGCACGCGCTGTTCGAACATGCGGGCGGCGAATATCTGGAACATGCGACGCCCCTCCTCCATCCTCTGCTCCTCGGTCATCGTGTCCTGTGCATGACAAGGCTGCTTAGCTTGTGATTCCCGGCCTGAAGCATCCAGCCAAGGCTGGCCAGCGGCATCAAGAGCACCGCCGTCGGTGTGGCAGCATTCAGTCCCATGGTGTGGGCAGTGGTGCGGGCAGTGGTGTTCGCAGTGGTCATAGTAGGTATCAGCGGCAGCAGGGTTTTGTATCTGTACCTCTTCTTCGTCGTACTCATCCTCCTGGCTGTCGTACTCCTCCTCCTCCTCGTCCTCTTCGTACTCCTCCTCATCCTCGGGCGGTGGCGGATGGCTGTGGGCGGGGTAGTTGGCGCCGTTAACGGCGTGGGGGTAGTTGCCCGAGTATTGGTCCTTGGCGTCCTCTTCACGGGCCATTCGGCGCTCGGCCAGTTGCTCCATCATCTCTATGAATTTTTTGCCGTCGTTTTTGAGGAGGTCGTCGGCCACAGTGAGGATGCCACCTAGAGAATGGTCAACATCACGACGGAAAACGTACTTCAGTACTTGCTCCATATAGCTCTTCGCATAGGGAGGCAAGGAATTCAGAGACTCGTGGAACCGCGTACCCTGGACAGTCAGAGAGTTGCCAAAGTTGAAGAAGTCCGTCTGGTGTTCCGTCGGGTGGTCACGGTGGATTTCCTCGGGCTCCTCCTCGTCGCTGTACTCGTTCTCCTCCTCCTCCTCGTCCTCGTCCTCCTCATCCTCCTCATCCTCGCTGTAGTCGTCGTCACCCTCCTCCTCCTCGTCGTCGCCCACGTGCTCGACTATACGTCCGCGTGAGGGCTGCTGCGGTGGATAGCTCGATGGCATGACCTGGGATGTGTAGCCTCCGGTTGAGGCGAAGTGCCTAGACGGCCCGAGCATCGGGGGAGCCTCGCCATTGTGATTGGGTTGGTTCGCAAACGACTCGAGCTCCTCATAGTAGGCATCGTACAGGCCCTCTAGCTCCTCCTCGATCGCTGTCCGCTTCCGGCCGCAGACGGTGCAGCTGCACGTGTGCTTCTGCTGCTCCTTCATCTTCTTAAGAACGGCATCCTTCTCGACCTTGACAAGCGACTTGCGCTCGTCCTCTCCCAGCCCGAGCCAGAACTCCTTGATCCGCTGGCGCTCCTCCTGGGAACTGGTGTTCCATATCTTCTCCTTGGAGATGCCGGATGCGCGGGAGAGGCTGTGCTCGAGCGGCGGCGGGCCGTGGTCACCAGCTGCCGAGTGTGAATGTGCGCTTGCAGGATGCCGTGATGATGACATGGCTGACGCCACTGAACCATCACCCTTCTTGCCCTTCTTCTTCCTCGACTTGGACGCGAGGGGTGGCGCGTGGCCGTTGCCGTGAGTCTGGTGATTAGGGTAGTGCGCGTGGTCGTCGTCGCTGTACTCGGGCTCGGGGATCGACGGCTTGGAGCCGTGGCTACCAGATGCCGCGGGGCTAGGGAGGCCATTGACGATACTTCTAGTCAGGTCGGCCTCGGCTGCTGCCTTGGCCGCTGCCTTTGCCCGCCTCTTGGCCTTCTTGCGATTGACTGGAGGGGCGGCCTCGTCGGCGCCAGGAGCGGGCGCGGACGCGGGCGACGGCGACGGCATCGACGCGGCAGTGGGGGAGAGTTGGTCGGCAGTGGATGAGGCAACTTTGGGCACGGTTATGAACTTGGAACCGTCCTTGTTGGTGTACTTTGCGGTGCCCTTGGTGGTGGGAGAGGCTGGGGCTGCCGGCTGCTGCTGAGAGGCGGCCGCAGGCTGACGGCGGCTGCCCTTCATCCTGGGGTTGCGCTTGCTGGGAGCCTTCACGAGGGGCCGGCGGACGCGGAGCTCATTGGCGGTCGGCGATGCGTGGCGGACGCGGGGCAGGAAAAAGAGGTGGAGTCAGCGAGGCTAATTGTAGGCGATGGGTCCCGAGTTGGACCTAGGGCTGGTGATGGCCCGGACTAGAATCGTCGTGAGTCAAATGGTCAGCCAGCCGTCGTGGACCAGGGACGCGACCGCGGATCGTAGGCTCGCGTAGGGATGGTCGAGGCGGGCTGGCGGACTGGCGGGCAGCAGGGGGGCCTCGGCGTGATGCGCGGGCACCGGGTCGTGGAGGGAGCGAGAGGCAAGGAAGTGGGCGAGCGAGCGAGCGAGCGATGCTCGTGGAGGTTGCGGCAGGCTGAGGGGTGGTGGTTGTGGGTTGAGGCTTTATTCCGGAGGGGTCCGTCAGGATCCTTACTATTGCCAGCGGACGCGATGCAAGACTGCGCAGGGCGGGCCGGGGTCTGCAAGGGACTGCTGGATGGCCTCGTTGGGCGACTGGCAGCTCGGTCGGCAGTACGTGTTGTGGGTTTACGACAATTCCTTTGCCCGCTCAATCGACGTTGTTCAGTTCGAATATCGACAAGTTCCGCCACGGTACCTTCGCAGCTGGGGACCGTGCACAGGGTACAGCCTGACGACCTCAGCTTTGCATGCCCAAGGTGAGTGGTGGGACTTGCGGGGCCAAGCCGCCAGCCGCCTTGAGCGGGAGCGGGACTCAAGGTCAGGTGCCGCCTGTTTCTGCCTGAGGACCCAAGCTTTGGTGGTGTCAGCCCTGCCAGATGCGAGCGGCTCGATTGTTGCTTCCATTCCACCAGTCCGGCCAGCACGCTCTCCACCCCGTGCTTGCTTCATCAAGACCAGGCAGGCACATTTATGCTAGATTTTGTCTGTATTTGTAACATTGTTGTGCCATTTTCTCCTACCTGTTCCACAACGGAACAGAGGTGATGGACATGAGTGAACATCGAAGCCCTCCTCCCTTATTTATGATCCGCAGCCAACAACAAAAACCCGTAGGCAAAAACCTGTAGGCAAACTACGAGATTCGTGCACCTTGACACTGCTCGGGACATGGCAGGTCTCAACCTGCACCGAAAACCCAGGACGGATGACTGGGGTGCTGTGCGTGCTGTGCGTGCTCGATTTTCAATGGGTTCGGCCTTCTGCAATGCCACAGACCCCTGTGCATTCATGGATCTTGTTCTGGGTGTGCGGCATTGTCCGTTCACCAAATACCTACAGGGGCCAGTCCGTGTCAAAGGCGGTTCAAAGGCGGTCGCTCGTGAGTGGACTGCCTGGGCGGTCTCTTTCCGCTCGAATCGGCAGCACACCTCGATGGTTGCTGCCAGAGCGGGGCTTGGAATAATGACACGAACCGGTGTTGACGCGGGCGCCGCTTGAACTTGTACATATGATGTGGAAGTAGGCCATCTCTAGTTCATCCACTGGCTGATATTTAGTGCAGCCTCGTTGCCTCGTGACGCCCAAACAACAGCAGTGCCAAATTCGGAAGGTGGACAATCCTTTGGGTCGTCGGGAACGGATCACTCTGCAACGTTGGCTGCGCTCCCGAGCCGCCAAGACGACGATCTTCTCAATGGTGGCTCATTCAAGCTAGAATTCAACCCTTGTAGAGCTGATGAGCTGGGATTTGTCTCGGCTCCCGTTCTGATGGCAGCTCGCCCTGGCGCTCTGGCCTATCAGGACAGCACAATAGCAGGTAAATGCGTCGGGTCGGTATCTACCATGCATGGCCGGCAGCCAGGATCCAGATACGAAGACATGAATTGAGGCGGTGCAGGCGCATTGCCCAAGGGTGAATATTTTACGTTGGGTTAATCCGCCAACCCAGGCCGCGGCTCCACTTGCTGGTGTCAAGGTTCGTCAAGGCTTTGGGCCTACCCAGGGTGCCAAGGTTCGGTGTGTGTGTGCCGAGGAGAGAGGCTCCGTTGTTGAGCATGATTTGCGTGCGGATAGGCATGCAACATGCACCTTGCTGGAGGCGCCCCAGACGGGTAATTTGGGATGCATATCTGCCTCGATAGGTCGGCACACAGACAGAGGTACATGCTGTCCCGTCGGCACATGCTGTGCTGTACCGTGTGCTATCGGAGGTTGGGGTTGGCGCAGCGAGGTGGCCTGGCAACCGGGTACACATGTCTTCATATGCACACAATGGATTGGCTCTTCGGCGAGACCGTCCGGGGACGCGACGACGCCTCTTGTGGCCTGGGGCGGACAGCTTGCACCCCGCTCGACTGCATGCAGTGGTGCATCCTCCTGTCCATGTCACACTCGCTGCATGTAGGTATGGGCTCATGGAATGTCTAAGAAGGCAGACACGCACACTAGGCGAGGTGGAGACGGCATCTTGTTGCCACTCTGGGACCTATGACCAGAGCACTGCAGAGAAAATTTGATATTGATGCCATCATGTCTGGAGATCCCATGTGCTGGTGCCGGCCCAACTAGCCAGTCCCGGGCTCAGATGCCGCCGAGCTTGGGTTAGACCGGCTCTCGGTGCTTCCTTCGGGCTCTTCCTGGGGGCGGCAACGAAGCCGGCCAGACGCAACAGGTACATGGTGGCCGGCACACAGGCCAACCGCGTGGTACATGTTTGTCATGGCAGCATACATCCACGTTGCTGTCGGCAACTCCGGAGATGATGAATCACGCGTCCTGTCTGCCAGCCGCAGCTTCATGGGCCTCAATATCAGCGCCGCCCAGGAGGACATTGCAGGGTGTAGAGAACCCGAACGCCTAGGTACACACTAACCTAATGTAGCCAGTCCTGCGTAACATCGGGGGGCCTTGCTGGACCGAACCCCCCCCCTGCTTGTGCACGCCGCCCGCGCTGGGTACGGCCAGTCAAATGCGCCCTGGCTGCCTCTGCACCCATCACAATGCGCCGCGTTTTTTGTTTTTTTTTGGCGTCCGCTTCCCATCAGATCCATCGTCCCCCACACCCCCCCAATGCTGGCAGCCATAGCCAAGCAAGGACCTCCCCAAAACCTGGGCTGAAGCCGTCGAAGTCGCCGCCACCGCCTGGGAAATTTCGTGAGACGAGCCAGGGTCCTGTTTCCCTTTTCTCCCACATTCTTATTCTCCGCATCGCTTTTTGCTTTCCGTCCTCACCTCTCCTTGCCATCTTTTCTTTTGTCTGGCTGTGACGGTTTGCTCACCGAGGCGAAACTTTTGGGGCCTGCTCGATTGAGGACCTAAGCCAACCCTGGCCATAGCTAAGCCAACGAACGAAGGTACCCGCCCACCCGTTTTCGCATCCGATCCAAACGGCTCCCCCTTTTTGGCCGGTCCAGTCCTAGTCCTAGACCTGTCGCTCCCAACGGACGAAATTGTCTCCTGGCACTGGCAGCAAACCCGACGCGCAACATCCCTCGCATACCAATCCCCTCCGATCGCCACTGCATCCTGCGATAGCTGTACCACTCCGCGACGACCTCGCCTCGTCTTCGCATCGCATCTTCATTCCCCTCGCGGACCGACAGACGTCACTCTAGACACGCCAAGACTCGCCCTCGTGCGCGCGACCAACCATGGCGAACGCAAATAACCAGAATGTTATCCGGAGGTACGGCAACCACCTTTGCACGTTTTGTCATGTCTCTTGTTTCTGTCCCCGGGCCGCATTCCTCGGGCGGCTCGCGTAATCGGCAATTTTGAGCTGCTGTGTCCCGTCTCCCTTCTGCCGTCTCCCCCGAATTCATTCCTGACGCGGCATGCCGCTTCTTCTCACAGGAAACTGGTCATCATCGGCGATGGAGCGTGCGGCAAGACGAGTTTACTCAGCGTATTCACACTCGGGTACTTCCCTACAGTAAGTAACCTTCAACAAGATCCCTGCCTCCTGCCGTTGTCGTCTGGGCGAGTCCCGATTCAGAAGCTGACTGACTCTTTTTGCAGCACTATGTAAGCATATCGTCGCCAGGCGTTCCTCTCCGTTATTGCACTACGTCCAATGCCGATATTTGATCACGACCTTCGTCCAACGAGATTGGTCGCTGACTGCCCATCTCCGACACCCGGCAATTAGATCCCCACTGTATTCGAGAACTACGTGACCGACTGTAGGGTGGACGGAAAGTCTGTGCAACTCGCGCTATGGGATACTGCAGGCCAGGAGGACTATGAGCGGTTACGGCCACTGGCCTATTCCAAGGCCCACGTCATCCTCATAGGCTTCTCGGTCGACACGCCAGATTCGCTGGACAACGTGAAACACAAGGTATGATATCGCCCCAGGCATCTTCCTTTCCAACTCGAATACTCTGCTTGCCGCCAACGGTGGACCTGCCTGCCTACCTGCCCTGCCATTCGGCTGCCCGAGAGGGTCGGTGAAGCGGACATGTTCCGTGTAACGGCCAAATTTCCGGACTCCGCATGCTATGGCACATGGTTGTGCTACCTCGTGGGCATCCCGAGCCTGCGAGCAAGTCCCACTCTGCACCGCATCGGTTACCCGAGCGGCAACACCTTATGGCGGGGGCAGGTCGGGCAACGGCAGCCGCAACAGTGCTTTGCAAAGGCTTGGGCTGATGGCGTCTATACGAATCAACAGTGGATCGAGGAAGCGACGGAAAAGTGCCCAGGGGTACCCATCATCCTGGTTGGGCTCAAGAAGGACCTGCGCGAGGACCCTGTGGCCATCGAAGAGATGCGAAAGAAGAGCCTCCGGTTCGTGACAGAGAGCGATGGCGAGTCGGCCGCCCGTGAGGTCGGTGCCCGCAAGTATCTCGAATGCTCCAGCCTGTCGGGCGAGGGAGTCGACGATGTCTTTGAGGCGGCCACCCGGGCCGCTCTCCTTACGTTCGAGAAGGGCGAGGGCGCCGGCTGCTGCGTCATCCTATAGTCAACCAGGCTCCTCTTGCCCAGCTTTTCTCCACCCCATGCCTGCCTGCTCACTCTGACTGGGGAGTGAGGATGCGCATGCCAAGCACTTTCCTGACTCGGGTCGAAATTGTCTGGGGGCGCCAACGGAAAAATGGGCTGGCGACGGCAGCGGCCAGAATCGGCATTGCTAGAAGTATGGGCTAGAATCGGCGAACGAGGCGCAACTGCGGCGTCTCGCTTGCTGGCGAGTCTTGACGGCGTCTGCACTGGCTGTGCGTTGTCAACGGCATATGGACGCAACGAGACTTGGAGATACCAGCCCTCATCTGTCCCCGCGCCACTGACTTAATCACCTCCCTTTTGATTTTGTGCCCGCCGCACACACCCGCAACGACCCCTTACGACTCGAACGCGAAACGCCAACCTGCCTAATCACTCACTATCAGGACGAGCCCGTCGAACATCGCACGCATCCCCACATTGAATTCTTGTTCCACAGTATCTGCCAAGACACGAAATTCGCTTCATTGTTCCTCGGGTGTATAATAGGGTTTTTTTTAAGACTTACTCTTCTCCTTGTCATTCCTGATTCTTTCCTATTTGCCCCTCTTGGCAGCACCATGTTGTAACACCGATGCGGGCAGCGGACAAGGAGGAACAGAACAGGACACGATAGAGGCTCCAAGGTCTCTAGCATGTGTTGGGAGGTCTCGTCTTCTCTGGCTTTGTTTTGCTGCCTTTTTCTTCTTTTTCATTCCACCAGGGGCCCTGCGGCGAAAGCACCTGACACTCCTTCCCGTTGTTGGGAGACCTAGGCTTGTTGGGCTGGTGCCAGCGTGGACCTTCAGGCCAGATGATCCCGACTCGGACTGCATTGGAAGCAATTTTGATACAAAAGTACAAAATTCAGGAATTCATAATCGGCCAAATGCAAGGGGAAATTGACCATGTAAGGATGTGTGAACATAGGTTAACCGCGGTAGTTATGCACAGTCTTAAACACCGGCCCGGGCAACACGGAGCGAGACGAGACAGTTTGGTACAAGTTCTTTTTATCCGATGGAGCCGAGCGTATAGCGTGCGAGTTAGAAGGCTTCATACCAAGATCGTGTTAGGAGGCCTTGGTGTGACACCCCGCCATGCCACCCTCTGGCGTCCGCCTTCACCTCTTCCAGTCGTGGTTCCAGGGCTGCCTCGGGGGCGTCTCGGTCTGGGGCCTGGCGTACTCGATGGGGACGCCGTTGTGGCCGTAGACGCCCTTCTTCTCCATGGCGACGCGGTACAGATAACCCTCGTCGCGGGCCCCCGGCCCTGCCGTGAGGCGCAGCTCCTCGCACGCGGCCCGCATCGACTGCCACTGACGCATGAGGCAGCGGGTGCGGGCCTCGCGCTGCTGCCGCCGCAGCAGGTTCCAGGCCCGGTCGACGGTCCAGTGGCGCAGGTGCCGGTTGCGGCCCATGCGGAGCGGGCGGGGACCCGGCGCACCTGCAGCACCACGCGCCGGAACGCGAGGAGCTTGGGGTCCGCCTGGTTGGCGCCCGCGGCGGCCTTGTCGCGCCGCGCCGCCACGCGCGCCTTTTGCGCCGCGAGCGCCGCCTTGGCCGTCTTGGCCGCCTCGGACTTGCCGCCGCCGCCCTTCTTGGGAGGCTTCATGTTGCGCAGGGGCGCGTGCGCGTGGAAGGGGCGCGACGCTGGGGGAGGAGGGGTCGGGAGTGTTGCTGTTGGTCTGCGGGAGAGGGGTAGTGGTGTGGGGAGTGGTTGCGGCCCCAGGGCGGCGGGGAGAAGGTGCCTCGCGAGGCTGCGGTGTAGGGAGCCTCGTAGGCTCGATATTGTGGTTGCCATTTTCTTTTTTCGGCTGGAGGCCCGGCTTCGGTCCGGGGGGTGTGGTGTATGGAATGTGTCGGGTCGTTCGGCTTATGTTCGTGGTTCTGGGCCGCACGATTTTTTTCCGGCCTCCGCTGTTGGCAGTAATGTGTTCCCTCGTGGCCTGCAATGCTTGATCTTGGGCCAATTGGCTTTGGCCAGTTCCAATCGAGCTTCAGACTCGCCCTTGCACGTCCTTTCCTGGCTGATCGATCCGGCCCCCGTCCGTCGAACTCAATGGGCAGCTCCGTCCAGTTCGGTTGACGTTCTGGTCTGCAGGAAAAAAAAAAGTCCATCGCTGCACGTGATCACATGATAGGGGGGCCGTGGTCGACAAGGGGTAACCCTGTCATTGCATGAGCCTCATGAGGTGTGTGTGACAAGGGGGGGCAGATCTGCCGCCTTCCCGTCTCCCTCAAAAGCTGGGGAAATCGTCTCGTTTCGATCGTCAGGCAATCTGGGGATTTGATCCGTCCATCAACATGACCGTGATTCGACAACCCTCGCCGCCCGCCCCAATGTACCTCACACATTTGCCTCCAAAATCTTAGTGACTAGTTATCGCAATCCAGCGCACGTATTCGCAGCGACCGCAAAACCTTGTTTTCGTTCCTCCCTTCCTCCTTGTCATCTAGATGCTTCCAGCCTGCCGCCGGGCCACTTTGTAGAGCAGCTGACCTGACCCCAATTGGGCACGCGTGCATGTACACAAGTTTCTTTCATTCTATCACGGCTCCCTCGCCTCATCTTCGTATTCATCTCACCCGACCTCCCTAACATCGATGCAGTGGTTACTTACTCTTCACTTTCCACCCCATCCGGGAAAGGCAGTAGAAAAAAAGATGCAACATCATATTCTCGCGCTCACCGCCGCCAAGTGCACAGGGAGCCAGCACGCCCAGAAGACAACAACGCAGTGGTGGCTTGCTCCGCCGTCAGACCATCTGATTAGCCTTTCTCCCTGCGGCGGGCCGTGCCCGTGCAATGCCTCGCCGGCGGCTGTCTACGCATCATCAAAGGCGCCGCGCCTCGGTCTACACCACCAGGATCCCCGAACAGACAGGAGGCAAGTCACCGGTGTGTTGACCATGTGTGCCTGCTCGGCACCGAGTGCGGGGAAGTCGGTGTAGGTTTTGACCCTGTCTATTTGGCTCGTGACAAGGGCCTTGTTGTTTCTTCCTCCCCCGTGTATAAAAAGGAGCACGTCAGACGCTTTTAGATATTACTATCTCTAGCCTCTCGTATCATGGGTGTTTGTTATCTTAGCATATCACATGCTTCTGTTTACTTCAGCTTACTACCAAGACGCGCATCCCAAAACATGGCTTTTCCGCCCAAGTGCCACAGACCTGCCTCGCCAGGCGCCGTCCCGGCGCCCAAAGATCCAAGCGTCAAGGCCTCGGCATCCATGGCTGGCTCTGGCGCGAGGCCTGCCATGGATGCTCGCGGAGACAACAAGGCCCAGCCGTCCCCCGCTACACTTGATGCATTTCTCCATCACGTGGGACGTCACGACGGCGGCGCGACAGGCCCGAACCGGCCGCTGCCGTCCGCCCGCGACACGCCCACGGCACGCACCAGCCCACACCCGGCGCGCCGCGGCAGCAGCGGCTCCGAGCCGTCCTCCACGGCCGGCTCGAGCCCGGAACTCGACATGGACGGCTCCACGGTTGTGGACCCGGACGAGGAGGGCCTGTCAGACCCGGGCGGCGACGACGAGGTCGAGCGGCAGAAGCGCCAGGCCGCCAAGAGCGGAAAGGCCGTGTGGACGCGCTACTGCGACGTGCAGCCCCTGACCCGGCCCGCCGCCGCCACCGCACCCGCGCCCGAGAAGCCATCCACCGGTGATGGGGACGGCGGCGGCGGCGGCTACTACGACGCCGAGCCCGACGAGAAGGCGAGGCGGGACTGGGAGGCGGCGCAGGAGCGCGAGATGGAGCGCTGGGCTCTGGGCAACATGATCGACTGCGGCTGGGAGGACTGAGGCGCGCTCGCTTTGGACCGATGGCTGGGCGAACCGCGGCGCTATGAGTGGATTTCTTTTTGTGTCTGTTATCTCGATACCCACCCGCATCTTCACATGTTTTGGTTTTTCTTGTCTCTTTTCATTGTTGTCAGTATTTGGCTCGAGGAGGAGAGGAGGAGAGTCTGTTTCATTCGTTCCATGTTGAGGATTAGGTTGTGGGTGAATGATTGGGAGAGACGATATAGTGTATGTCCAAGGGGTTGATCGGCATTACAGCAGAGGTAGACAAAACCCAGGGTTGTACGCAGTTGTACGCATCTCTACTAGTAGGCTGGTGGGTCATGAAGTGCCATAAGGACGGGTGTGGTATTTGAACGACCACAGTTCCGTCGCTGGCCGTCGCAACTGTGAAATTTGTGTTTCTTTTTGTTTTGTGTCGCGTGAATCGCTATCCCTCTAAATACATTTCCCGACAAAATGGCAAACAAAACTTTTGATCCTAGACGGCATAGATATTATGGGCAGGCAATGGCTTTTGTTGCTCCAACCATGTGCTCTCATGGTTTGGCACGGTGTTCTCTCGGAGGTACGCTAGAGTGGGCTGCAGACAAAGGTGGGCGGATTGTGAATGCTTGCGTGCGTGGTATAAGCGGCTTGAGATGGCCGATTTGGGTATCGATGGAAGTGTGAGGATGGTCGGACGATTAACCGTGGAGGCCGTTAGTCCTGGCGCGCATGAGCTCTCTCCTTTGCTTTTCCTTTTCTATAGTGAAGAGATTAGCGTTTTTGAACTGACAGGAGGCGGATACCTAGCGCAAGCCGCTCGAATGGACGTACCAGCATCAAATGTGATGAACTCGTGCAGTCCGTGTCCGGTCGGTACCATGGGGAGCACGGGAACCTTCTTATCGGTAACAACCTCGAGCAGGGCCGGGCCGTCGCTCTCGATGAGCCACTTTAGCGCGTCCACAACCTCGTCAGGCTTCGAGACGCGCCTGTGCTGTACGTCCATGGCGTCGGCGAGCTTCATGAAGTCGGGATTCCGCTGGTGCGTGTGCGAGTAGCGGTCCTCGTAAAACAGGTTCTGCCATTGCGTCACCATGCCCTGCTCTTCGTTGTTGAGCACAATGACCTTGACGCCGATGTTGAACTGCGCAGCCGTCGAGAGCTCGGTCAAGGTCATGTTGAAGGAGGCATCGCCGTCAATATCAATGACAAGAGCGTCGGGCCTCGCAACCTTGGCGCCGATGGCCGCTGGGAGGCCGTAGCCCATAGTACCCAGGCCGCCCGAGCTAATCATGGTTCGTGGGTGGCGCCACCTGAAGTGCTGCGCCGCCCACATCTGATGCTGGCCGACGCCGGTGGTGATGATGGTCTTGTCCTTGCGGTCGGCAGTCAGGTTGCTGAGCTCCTCGATCAAGGTCTGGGGCTTGATCAGTCCGGTACGCTCTGCCTTCTCGTAGTTGGAGAAGGGCCACTTCTCCTTCCAGCCCTTGATCTGCCCGAACCACTGACTGCGGTCCTCCATCGACTTTTGCTGGACCTTGGGCAGGAGCAGCTTGAGGTTGGCTCCCACGTCGCCCTCGATGGCCTCGGTAGCTTGGATGACCTTGTTAATGTTCTTGGGCAGGATTTCGAAGTGAACGATTCCGCCACGGCCCTCCTTGGCGGCAGCCTTGGCAGCGGGGGCAAACTTGGGAATGCTAAGGGTGACACGGTCATCGAAACGACCGCCGAGGGCAATGATGAGGTCTGCCTCCTGCATAGACATGTTGGCATAGGCTGAGCCGTGCATGCCCAGCATGTGCAGCGACTTCTCGTCAAGCTCGTCGAAGGCTCCCAGGCCGTGAAGAGTGGTGGTCACGGGGATGGAGGCCTTGTCAGCCAGTGCCTTGAGAAGCTCGACACCATCCTCGGCGCAGATGATACCATGGCCGGCATAGATGATGGGCTTCTTGGCGATGTTGATCAGGTCGGCAACGCGGTCGATCGACTTCTCAAGCTGCTGCCTCGAAAGCTCCTGAACGGCGCGAGAGGCGGCGCTGGGCATGGACGGGATCGATGACTCAATGGGGATGGCTCGCCTCAGGACTCCGGCAGTGATGTCCTTGGGAAGATCGACAAGGACGGGGCCAGGGCGGCCGCTGGTGGCAATCTCGAAAGCCTCGTTGATCCTACGAGGGATCTCACCTACGCTCTTGATCATAACATTCCACTTGGTGCAGGATCGGGAGATTCCAATGACATCGGCCTCCTGGAAGGCGTCACTGCCAATGGCGCTGGTGACAACCTGGCCGGTGAAAACAACCATGGGGATACCATCGGCCAGGGCGTCAGCCATGGGGGTGACGACATTGGTGGCTCCGGGCCCCGAAGTGACAAGCACGACACCGGGCTTTCCTGACGCGCGGGCGTAACCCTCGGCCATGTGGCCAGCGCCCTGCTCATGTTTGGGGAGGACGAAGTTGATGTGCGGGGAGTTGTAGATTGCGTCGTACACGGGTAGGATAGCGCCGCCGGGATAGCCGACTGTGACTCACATGTTAGCCAGCGTTCCGGTAGGTGCTGGGGCTATGTTGCTTCCCGAAGGTTGGGGGCCATGACTTACAGATGTGTTTTACGTTCTGTCTCAGCATCATTTCGTGGAAGATCTCGCCACCGGTTTTGCCAATAAATCTTGATAGAAGAGGGATATTGTCAGTAAACGAGCCTGTGTAACACCAGAGACCGAGCTATAGGCTGGTTGGCCAGGGGTCGAGGCGGAAACGTACGATTCGTCCATGTCACTCTCGCGGGGGCTGACCAGCGGCTGAACATGGTCGCGTGCCTTGGTTTCAGCATTGAAGCTGGGGCTAGGCTTCGCGCGAGGGTTCCTGAGTGCAATTGAGGTGTTAGAGTCTCTCGCCTCGAGGCTGTGAAGAAGTTGGGCGGCCGTGACGCATGGGACACACACTTGGTGGTGGGGAGGGCGAGGGGCGCCACCAGGGGTTGACTTACACAACCGCGTTCTCAGCGATAGCCGATGTTGATTGATTCCTGATGCCAGCGGCCCTGCTGACAGCCGCGATCGTCTTCAACGAGGTGGGAGTGCTGATGAGGACGCGAGGGCGGCATGATGGTGATTGAGTCACCGCCCTCAGCGCCTTGCAAGTCTGCCCACCAGCGGAACGGAGCATGGTCGGAGGAGGAGTGGAGAGTCTGGGGAAAGGCGAGACGAAGAATTGACAGCCAGGCAGGAGAAAAGGAGACCAGGCAAACACGAGAGAAACCGGAGAGAGCAAGAGAAGAAAGAGAGACAGGCAGTCGCCGCAGTCGACGAGACTGGATCAGATCGACTCCTTTTCGTGTGGTGACTCCAACCAGACTGGGGTGGCGACCAGCGAGACACGGATTTACAGGCTGAAATCTGGGGATGGTCGTGCAGCGACTGTCAAAATTTTGGCACCCAAAACGGCAAATGTGGGGTTGAATTGGCGTGCACGGAGCAGCTGTTGCGCCGAACACACGGCGAATCGCGATATCGGAGCACAAAGGGCGTCGCAACAGCGGCGGGCTGATTGGACAATGTTGTGCGCCAGGTGGGGGTGGCGGCCAGCTTTTCTCTCTGCGACTTGTGCCTGATTCGCGCCGCCGAGCCTTTGTCAGGTGTCGTCGTGTCGCCCTGCTGCCGGCCGCCGACGTGCCATGAAATACTGCTGAAATGGCTCCTCCGGTTGGGGCTGGAGGACGGTCGCCAACTCCACCAGGCCTAAGAAAAGACCTGGCCCACTGATCAACGATCCCTTCATTCTTGGTTGCAGGGGCGATTTAAACGATGGCTTCTTGTTCTGTTGCCATTTTCTTGGCTTTCAACGGATGAAGATTCACAGCCCTTGGTGGTCTGAGATTCAGGTTGACATCAGGCTATCCCAATCTACCAATGGCCTACGGCTTCGAGACCGCTGAACTCCTACATTTTCCCAATCGCTTGGAACCGAGATTTGCAGCGGCAAAGCAATTGATCGCGCAAGTTTCAAGTTTGCGGTCACCCGATCCGTCACCTGCCGTGCGCGGGTCAGTTTCTCAGCAGCGGGCGGTCTGCAATTGGGTGCGCTGCTATCCCGGCCAGCTTGCTCACCACAGACGGGCTGGAAAACCGGGAATACCCCGGAGTGGTTCGCACCGCAGGGTCCATCAGGGTCCTGCAGGGGTCTCGCACCGGCGATGCCATGAGGCAAAGAATGGGCCAAGGACAGCATCTTGGTTCCCGTGTGATATCGGGAGGGGCACAATACAAGGTGGACCCCATGCGTCAGAAATCCCACAGACCAAGATTTTGCCTGTGGCGTTGCCTTCTTTAATACCAGCGAACGCCGTCAGCATATTATTACCGCATAGGTCTCACCGAATCCCTCGCTTCGTCCTCTTTTCCTCCTTTCCCACTGTTTTGTTTTCTGTCAGGTATTGTGCTCGACGGCCATCTACCTACGCATGGACGCCCGATTGGTCTTTCGCCGATGCCCTAAACGAACCCCAGCCCGCACTCGTCGACGATCAAGTGACGCTTGGCATCTCACTTTCGGGTAGCCACGGCTATCTGCCTGGGCGGTCCGACCTCGAACGAGCCCCCTGCGCTCAGGTTGACGACGCCGATGATCGAGGACTCTATGGAGCCTCTGGAAGGACCAGGAGGAGGGAGATCATCAGGAGGTTGCCACCAACCAGGCCATGGGTCATGCCACGATGACCAGGGCAATATCGGACCTTCGACAGGACATCCACCACCGCAGACGCACGACTTTTGTGGGCAGACCTGGAACCGAAGGATATGCGGACCATCACGAGCCATCATCGAAGGTCAAGAGGGGGTGTTAGTCATGGGTCTCCGTCAACAGGTTGGGCAATGGACTGGGGGGAATCACGGGACTAGCACCTATTGAGACAGAACGCGCCCTTCATATCGCTAGCTAGCACAGCCTTTTCGATATCGATACGGCAACGACGGACGAACTGTATTACCCTGGACGCTGAGCATGTGCAGCGACTAAGGCGGCCCTGCCGTTGGGATTGGGCGAATGGCTAGCCCATGTTAACGACTATTTGCGGTTCCGGTTCCGGTTCGCTAGGCTAGCCGCCTGGGTGACCACTGTTTATCGACGTCGGCGACTTGTCAGCCCTCGAGGCATGATGATCTGCAGCGTCGTTGACAAGGCCGAAGGTCTTGGTATCGATCGTTCCCTTGGGTTCTGGTCGGCAGCAAGCCCCATTTCCCATCCTGCCGGCAAGAGCGACCGGCTGTCGCTTTGAGCTTTGGGGCAAAGCATGGGTTCGCAAGTCGACATACCTCGGCCGGTACAGCATCACACCTTCTCTGGATGAATCGGATGTCGGTTCCAGCACCGATCACCTAGTGCGTGGTAGGTGACGGGACCTGCATGCGCGATGCTCGTCATCCGGACACCTGCCTTAGGTTGGCTGCTCACGTGATGACGAATCCAGCGCCAGCAAAGCACAAGATGCCTTTGAGGAACTAGGTTCAAAGTTCAATTTTGGTTCTAAATCATAACAGGTTGAACAAAACTGGCGATGGCAAAGCCATGGAGCGCGTGTGGATACAATACAGGAGATGGCTAGGCCAAACAAACCACCCAAGGAACGAGCACCGCCGCTGGCTAAGCATATTGACATGAGACATTAACTAGAAACAGCCGAGAACGAATCGAGAACCATACCCTCCCGGCAAAGCAGGAGGTACATGCCGCTGATTAAATTCGCTTCTCAGTCATTCGCTTTGGTATCACCAGTTCCCCGACCGACGACACCGAACGAGGCAACAAAAAAGATTGTTGTACACAGGGAATCCAAGGAAATCAAGAACAAAGGAGACGAACGTATCGAAAGACTAGAAGGCAACCGAGGCTGAGATGGCAGTCATCGGCGGCGTGTGGTTGGTGGCTCATAGGCCATCACTGCTCACTGCAGTCAGTCATCAGCCAAGGTCACCCAAGAACGGAAGCTGGAAGAAGAGACCGGGGGCTACTTACAGGAGGGCAAGGGTCAGGTCGCCATGAATGCGGGCCTTGAGCTCAATCTCGATCTCGAGGTTCAGCTCGAGGTGCAGCTTTAGCGGGTTCTTGCCGCCCTCGTCCTTCTTGACCTGCTGCTGTTGTTGCTGCTGCTGCATCATCTGCATCTGCCACTGCTGCTGCTGCCGGCGCATCTCCTCCTCCATCTCGGCCCGGCTGTAGCTCTTGTTGCTTGACTTTTGCCGGCGCGGCGGCGGCTCCTCGACCTTGGCCTTCTGCAGCTGCTTCTTCTTGTCGCGGCTGCCCTGCTGCCGCTGCTGCGACTGCTGCCAGGGCTGGGCGACCTCCTCCTCGGGCGTGGCGGGCTGCGATACGGACGGTGCTGACTGCCGGTTCTCGGCCGCCTCATCCTCGTCCTCGTACTCGAGCTCGGGTTCGTACTCCCCTTCTCCTTCTTCCTCGTCATCGTCGTACTCCTCCCCGTCCTCGGCCTCTTCATCGTCGTACTCCTCATCGTCGTATGCTACTTCAGCATCCTCCTCCTGGGCATCACCAGGGACAGCCTCTGACTGGCCCGCTTTTTCCTTTTGGCCCTTCACATCGGCATTCTTGCCCTTCTGTTCAGATGATGCCTTCTCAGCCTTCTCATCGACCTTAGTGTCGGTGGGCTTATCAGTGCCGGCCTGCTCTAGCTTCTTCTCGTCGGGCTTCCCCTGTCCCTCAGTCGGGTTGTTGTCCTGTGGCTGTTGTGGCTATTAGTTGCTGCCCTCTACTGTGAAAAGGCCTCGCCTCAGGATATACATACCGAAGACATTCTGGTGAGGATTCAAGCGGATATTACGATTAAGTTTAAGAGCGATTTGATACTAGGTAGCCAGTGCTACTGGAGAGGTTTGGTTCGAGATGATATGGACAAGTTGTTCGAAGGCAAGTGGGAAGAATGAGGAGGCCTGCTACTGAGTGCGGTGCAGAGCGAGGAAAGAGACTATGGAGATCAGAGGGACCACACCACACCGAAAGTCAGGGGAACCAGACGGTGCTGTATAAATCACACGCAAGACATGCGCGAAGGGTCGAACTTGGCTCTCAAGCAGGCTTGGAGCCAGGGCCCTGCGGCATGACGGGTGTGACCTCCAACTACGCAATGTCGTCTTGGAAACATGATTTTGTTCAGCCCTAACCTCTTCTGCTCTGCGCATCGATCCTCGACACTCCTCCGAAAGCCACAAGCGATGTCGTCACTTGACGTTATGGTGTGGGTGGATGCGTCAGGCTTGCTAGCGGCATAACAGCAATAGCCTTTGGCAAAGGGGGAGATCGTGATTGGGGGTTGGGTCAGGGGTGGGAAAGGAGACGGGGGTGAGGTCGAAAGGGCAAAGGGGTGGGTGTGGCTGGTGAGCGGGAAACGAGGCGACGTGCCCGGATGGGAGAAACAGTCGGGTGGGATGAAACGGGGTGACGTCGTCTACGGGAGACCGACCCTTTCGCAGATCTTACGAAAAGTGAATGGGACGGTAAGTGGGTGATCAACAGTCTGGGCCTCTGGGGTGACGCACTTGCTAACCATGGTTCGAAAAGTGGGCATTTCTGCATAACTCACAGGCACAGATGAGCGCCGAGAGGTACAGTTACATGCGGGTGAGGGCTTTTTTGACTACACACCCTCTCGCGCCCTTGTGGACTTCACGAGACGGGCTTTCCAACTTGGAAAGGGAGGGGGCGTGCACACACGGAACTTGAGTGCAACGGAGCGGCTTCAGGGCCGGTGGGGCGGGAGGTGTAATAGGTCGGCATATAATGGCAAGAAAAGCGAGGATGGGCTCCGCTTTGTGCTACGACGTACGCTGATGGTGATGGGTGCGGGATAAGGTGGGAGGGCGGGAGAGAGAGAGAGAGAGACCTATCTGACGCAAAGTCAAAGGCAACACGAGCGGTCGAGAGAGCCAAAGGGAGTATCGACGATAGGAGATTGTCGCGTCAAACCGGTTTCTGCCCCTTGGCTCCTCCAACGGGCGCAACATCAGGCAACCCACCGCCGCCTCGTCCTCGATACCTCTCACTCTCGCCTTGGGGGCTTCCTTTTTCGACTTGGAAGGGGAGTATCCGCCAACGAGTGTCGCCAGGACGCCGCAGAACCTCCCATCGCCACCGTCCGCCAGAAGCAGCGAGAACAGCATGTTCGCCATCGGACTGCTCGCCATCGGGGCAATCCCCACGACGATAGGGGTGGGCCAGGCCATCAGCGCGCAGAAGAGGCAGAACGCGGCCCAGAAGGAGCAGGCAAAGTTCCACCTCACGGCGAAGCTGTCCCTGGGTGGACGCCCTCCCATGGAGGCCATGATTGTGCTGAAGGACAACAAGGTCAGTTGAGCTGGGCTCACCCGCCTAGTGGCTTTTCACCCCCTCTTGTTACTCTGCTTTCTCTTTCTCTCTCTTTTTTTTTACACATTTCTCTCGTTGGCCAGTCGCGGCCGGTTTTGGTGAGTTGTGCCGTTATGCGGTCTGTCCGGATGAGGCGGCTTGCATGGCTAGCTCGTCCCACCACTGGGGGGGGGCCTTGTCACCGGCCGCTCACCTACCCTGCCCATCTATTCAGCAGCACATTGCTCCGAGGGTGTCTATGGAGGACGTCCGGGTGCAGGGAGCTGGGAAAGAGTCATTTCGATGACGTCTCAGCGCATGCACACCCACGCAAGAAGATGGGATCGAAACCGAACCATCATGAGCCCATTGGCTCCGGCATCCCATGAACTAATGCCTCTCCTGTTCCCAGCTTTGGATCGATCACCAGGAGAGCCCGGTGGAGGGACACAAGTTCACGGGCTACTACTTTACGTACCCGAGCGAGGAGCAGCACAAGGGAATCGTCAGCACCATCTCGATCGATCCGCCCATGCTCAACTGGATCTACGTCGACAAGGATACGGCCACGCTGCGGTACGGCGGGCGAAAGGACACTCTGAGCCATGTCATCGGGCCTTGGTGGTGGAGCGAGGACGAGACATACCTGACGTTGCGTGGATCGGCCGACGGGTTCGTGGCCGAGGAGGACCCCTCGAGCAGGAAATGGTTTCTGAGATACAGCCTGCCCCAGCAACAGCAAAAGTCTGGGGATCGGCATCATCGAGATCGGGTGTGTGCCGAGGGGGAGGGTCCGTCATATAGCGGGGACGAGGTGTCTGAGAGTGATGGGGAGAGTGACGATCAGGAGGAAGATTACGACGGGGGCGAGGGTGGCTATGATGACAGCTCGGAGGAGGACGAGGACGAGGACGAGGACGGAGAGGAGGAGGAGGGGTGCAGCGGGCCGCGGAGGGTGAGGGTGCAGCTTCGACGGCGGATGATGCTGGGCATGGACAGCCGCTATGTCAAGAGGGACTAATTTTGGCAGGCGACCCGCGCGCGCTCGCTGCCTAGACCGAGCAATTGTTGGATAGGCAGCTTGGTCGGCCCCGGAAAAACAAGTGTCTTAGCAAAAGGACCCGATGACCCGATGGGATGGTGGCGGGGGGTGGTGCCTCCTCCCTGGCAACGCCCCATCTGCGGGCGTCGATTCGCTTCGGGCAATCGCTAGTGGAGGGCTAGGAACGGTTAGGATGATGGATGGTTTTTTTTTTTTTTGCATGGTCTCGCTATCCCTTTCGTCTCTCCTCGGTCCTTATCCCCTGTGCATGTCCTAGCGATCTGCAGCGCCGGGCCGCTTGTACCACGACTTTTCACCCCATGGAATTTCCCACAACTACCACGCCCCTCCCCCTCTAACCCCTGTACCTTTCGGCCTTTGATAGATTCCCACCCTTTCCATCATGGTCTTTTTCCACCCACACCCTTCTTCGCCTCTCCCTTTCGCTGACGACCGTTTTTTTTTCTTCTTGCGCTGGGCACCAGGGTCACCCCCTGCATGTTGCATCCCGCGACGGGCTCTCTATTCATATCACGCATCATAGGCAGCTTATTCTGCTGAGCAGCGGGCTATTCAGATGATGATGGGGGGAAGCTATGATTTCATCACCTGCGCTCGGCTTCTGAGGGCGAGGCCGTCTTGGGTGTGTCAGTGGAGGAATCAGGTTTTGCATCCGGCTTGAAGATGGCCTCGCGCGTATTAAAAAAGGCCCGCACACCATCGATCTGATAGAAGTGAAGTTCCCAACACATCAAACACATCCATCTGCCCTCGTAACCACTTGATACCCTGAAGAAGCCGCCTTTCTTGCTCCTTGATCCTTTGCTCTCCCTCTACTGCTTGCTGCCTCCTTACGAAACCACCACCTCTCCAGACCTCTCCCCCAGAAACCACCCACAAGAAAGCCATGTCCTCCTCACGCAGCGGCTCCATGGAGAAGCCCAGGCGCAAGGCGCAGACGTACGAGTCGGAGCCCGAGGCCGAAGAGTCGGTCGGGGAGCAGCCGTCGCCGCCGCCGCCGCGCCGCCGCCAGATGCAGCGCAAGAAGAAGCAGCAGCAAGGTCCTCTCGACCTGGCCGGGCTGGACGGCCTCGGCGGCGTGGGCCAGACGGCGGGCGGGCTGGTCGGCGGCGTCACAAACACGCTGGGCGGCGTCGCGGGCCAGGCCGTCGACAACGGCGGCGGCAAGAGCGACACGCTGCGTCTCCGCCTCGACCTCAACCTCGAGGTCGAGATCACGCTGAAAGCAAAGATCCACGGTGACCTTGAGCTGGCGCTACTGTAAGTCCCCCTCCCCCTTCCCTCCCTTTCGGCTTACTTTCCTTTGATGTCCTCCTCCTGCACCGTTTTGCTCTGCTCTGCTCTGCATGCTTGCCCACTCCCCACTCCCCAACCGTATCCTCCACATATCCCTTCTTGCTCCTCCCACAGCCACTCCTACGTATACGGGGCCATTTCGATGGTTCCGTATTCAATAGTCACAGCCAAGAGTTCTTACACATGTGTCAAAAGGACGGGTTAATGACCACTCATTACCAACCTTTTCAGCGAAACTTGAGTGTTCTTTTTGTCACATCATCATACAGAGGCGTCAAACTTTGGGCTTGCGCACAGCCGGCAGCCGGCCGGTGGTCTATGGGTAAAACAGGGCGGCGGGTTGATGATACCTTGCAACCATCACCAACGCGACCTGCTCTCACAAACCCACCGCGCCAACGGGGCAAGCGAAGAAGAAGGCGCGCAGGGGAAGAGAGTCATGGGGATCGAGGTGGGGCGCACCGGCCGGCTGGCTGTGCTTGGAGGAAATCCGGTTGGGGGCGTTGATTACTCACAGATCATTACTTGTTTCGTTTTTTTTTCTTTTTTTCTTTTTGGCTCTGGTCGGTCCAGGGATCCGATCAGACCTCAGCAGTGGCCAGGCGTCCGAACAAAAAGAGGGTCAGCGCATGCGGGAGCAGAGCAAGCCAGAGCGGAGCAGAGCAGAGCATCGTTTTCCTTTGGGTCCTGATCATTTCACATCTAATCACCTACTCGAACCCGAGGAGGCTAATCACCATGGTATAAACCTTTCTAGGAACTGAATAATCACTGTATAATTACCTCTACCATCGCTGCTCTTGATTCACTTCCCATTTGGGTATACTTGCGTGTCCGCTCCAGGCTCCGCTTGGAATACGCTTTCATGCAGGACCCGGGGGCGGCTGCACCGGTGGACTGACGGATGGGTAAGGGGACGGCGGGTGCGGTTTTCTGGGGGAAGATGGTTGTATGTCGGCAGTCCCGAGGCAGACCACACCCAGGCACGATCTCTTGTGGTGCCTGGAGTGGGGAGGGCGGTTGGCTTGGGTCGTATCTCCTGGCGTCATGGGGTTGCTTTTCCGTCCTGGGTGTCTTTCACGTTGGCTTCTGCTTCCCTGCTTTTTGGTCTTTGAAACTCGGAATATCAGACTCATTTTGTGCAGCTGCAATTGATGAGAGACATGTGGTATGCGCTAGACGAAGTGGACACCCACACACGATGCACTAAGAAGCGACAGCGAACATGGGCTTGAGAAAAAAGAGGGAAGCCGGTGTCGGTTGCGGGACACCCGCTCTGATTTGCCTGGGCGACTTGGCCTTTTGGCGGTTACATTGCAGCGCGCTCAGCGCGGTCGGGAGGCCTGGGTGAGCCCGACACATGCCCGAGGAAGCCTGGGTGACTAGCCATGCAGAAGGGTGCCTGCAGCGATGCGATGATAGACATGGCAAACTAACCGCCCAGTGCCCAGTCCTAGATAAGCGTTTCTTTACTGGGGACCCCCAGGTTACGCAGAAGATGCAAAAAGTAGGATGGTTTCGAGGCAAATCCTAAAGTAAAAAGTCGAAATCTCGATGTTGGTTTCCACAGGCGATGGGGTGGGCTGGCAAGCTGAACATGACGGAGCCAAAGAGCTAGGGGGTTCAGACGAAAGCAAGGGGGGCGGCGTCTGATAGCCCCTAGCTGTGCGTCTGAGAGTCTTGCGTCTTCCAGAGTGAACAAATGATAAAAGGGGCAAATGCTCCGGGCGACGTCAAAGACGCTCGCTGAGTGGCTGCCACACTTTCGCAGCCACAGCCATGGCCAATGAGGCAAGCCGCGGTCTCTGTGGCATTGTGGGGACATGGGATTAGGGGGGGGGGACCCATATGGGATGGAACCGTGTCGGGGGCGTTCGCTCTCCGACTTCTGCAGAGACCACCAAGAAGGGAAAAAAGCAAAAAGGTTGGCATGACTTCCCAGTTTTTCGAGCATCGGCCAGAGCGCCATGGCCCCAGAACGGGCGGCGGTTCGGCCTTTGAGCCGTGCCAAGTCCGCAAACTGCAACGTCGACGCATGGGGTAGGGGGTGTGTGTCTTTGAAGCGAAGCAGTCGAGCACGAGAGAGAGGCCGAGAAAAGGGCAGACGGACTGCCAGACCTGCCAGACCTGCCAGACCTGCCAGACATGGAGGAGGGGCGGGAGCTGGCGCCAGTGTTGAACAGCCGGCCATGAGAATATTTACGGCAGGACTTGGCCGGGTGACTGGCGGGGCGTGAGTGAGGGCAGGGGTTGCATGCACTACATGAGGGCTGGGAGTCATTTTGGCTTGTGTCTCTAGCTCGGAAGAGGAGAAGCAGCGAGGCAACGAAGGTTGCCGTGGCCCGAGCAGGATTCGCATAAGTTCTGGGTTCTATAGCGCTATCGGCCAGGTTCATGCTGGCAAAAGATGGCGGGTCAATGCCGCCATGCCCCTCCGATTTGCTCGTATAACATCCGCCGCTTAGTGCCGGGCTCTGTATGGGAAATAGCAGACACGGGAATGTCTACCTACTACACAGTGGGTAGTATCTTTTCCCACCGTTGTCTGCCTGACTAACGGGTAAGGAACGGCGGGGCATTGTAAGAATCAGTGTGAGCGTGCTCGTGTTTGCAGATTTCCCCTCTCCAACCCCTCTCGAGATTACCTACCTACTTTCCTACCTAGGTATTCTCCACTCCAATCGCACGGGTTTCTGGATCGGGTCTAGGCCCTGGTGCATTTGTGCAATGAGCGACATGTTTCCGAAACCCGCGGTTGCTCAGCAGCAGCAGACTCCAATCGGAGCGACAAGCGGGTTTGGGTTTGACAGCAGCTCGAGTTCTCGAGTCCACCACCCACAGTTAGCACGGGCCTGGTCCATCAAAACCTGGCATGGCTCAGACGCTGATGGGGCCGCGGGCTTGGCGCCAACGAACTGGACATCTAAGACAGACAGTATTGAGCCCCGCCCGATCGGTTGTGTGCGATGCAGCGACCCGACGGCGGGAACACCGGAATTCGATCCTGTCACGTCTCTACCAGGCCTACCAAGTCTCCGCCCTGCCGTCTCCCATACGTTTGGTACTTTGTGTCGGCTCAGGCAGCCGAGAGCACTGACTCGTACCCAACCTCGCTCCCACCCGTTTCCGCCAGCACATCTCCACTTCAACGTCGTCGAACTGGGGCAGTGACGCGTGGCTTTGTAGAGTGGGGAGCCTGAATTTTCAGCCTCTTGTGCCTTTCGAGCCAAATCTGTCGCCGTCTAGCCTTCTTTGAATTCCATCGGCAGACCTCCATCAAAAGTGTGCCTCGACCCCTCACTGCTGTTTCTCCTACATCTCTCACCCTGCCTGCATTGCATATCCCCCTCGTGTCTGCGCCGATCTGCTCCTCGGCGCTCCACACCGAACCAGCCCAGACTTGGGCCTGCCCTGGGCCAAATTCGAATATACCGTCGCGTATTGTTGATCCCCGGCGTGGGTGTGCGGTCTGGACTCGCGGAGAGGAACACGGCACTTGGCACGGTTCGTTCCCGACCCACGAATCTGTGTGTGTGTGTGTGTGGATGGGTGGGCACTCGCACACTGTTCGCTCTGCAAAGGACATACCCCCCAGCGAGCAAGATCCATCCGCCTGCATATATCACGATGCGACGTCATTGCAGGCAGGCCAGTTACATTACAGGCACCATGTTCGATCTGGCTCGGCGCAGAACCCGCTCATCCCATCTTCATCTTGTCCCACTCCAAATGGCGACCAGCCCGGACTCTCCTCTCATTTTCCCTCGTCCCAACCGTTACTTGCATTTTCGGTTCCTGCGCTTTGAAAAACAACCGATACCGCCCAAAATGGGTAGTTCGCTGCTAATCTCACTTACAACTGCTAGCCACTCCCACTGAGCCACTCGGGCGCTGGACACGTGGTCCGATCGTGCCCAGTGAAACATCACCTAGACTGCTTTCCAAGTTTATGCTGCATTCTTAGCGCAGAACCTTGCATCCGTATGCTTATCAGCCCCAGATGACTACCTCCCCGCCTACTAGACGAGGTTACCTTGGTGTACCGTCCCTCCGCGTTATTAAAGGAGACCGATTATACGTAGTACGTCCTCAGCGTGCTAACTCGGGGTCACGAGGCAGGGCCGGCTGTTGTCGTCGTGAGCCGGGCGATGTTACCTCTCCAGGGGCCAGGCCAAGCCCGACATACAGCCACTGGTCATAGCGCGTTGCTGTGCACTAGGCTGGGAGCTTGAGCGAGCGTTGAGCATCCTTGAGCCCCCTTCGTTGTGCATAAATTTCCCGAGAGCCAATGTCCGAATGACATCATGGATTTTGTGGGAACCTGGGGCCGGCCCGCCCCCTGTTCTGGTCTGGTCTGTATTGGCCTTTCTTCCTTGGTGATGGCTGCTCTCGCGACGGCTGCTGCTGCTACTGCCACTCCCATCGCGTTGAGCCCCGTCTCAGTTGGCATGAATGGCCGACGAAGAGGCCAGAACAAACCAGACCAGAGCCCACTCGACGCTTTCACCACAGGAGCTAGCACGATCTGAAGCGGGGCGGCCACACGCGCTTCAGCGCCCCTTCGTCCTAAACACACCTACTCAGCCAGGCGATACAGCACCTAGCCCGCCCCTACCGCCCCTGCGCTGCGCTACGATTAGTGCCTCTTTAACGCTTTGTGTCCTGGAGGGATAGGTGCCGGATGAAGTTTTGACAGTCTAGACCACTTGCTGCCTTCTCCCGTCATCTCTCTCACCCAGGCACCCCTTCTTTTCCCTCAGCCCAGGACCAGCCACACATCTGAGCGCCCATCATCCAAACGCGCTAATCGGCTTGACTTCGGACACCCTCATCAGACACACAGACACACAGACACACAGACACACAGACACACACACACAAGCAGCTGGGCCGCCTCACCCGCGTCCCCGCCGCCTTTGTACATACCTACACAGCCTACCCATACTGTACCAGCCAAGACGTTGTGCAGGTAGTGTGTGTGGAGAATCAATAGCCTGTGCCAGGCGACTTTTCTTACACTCAGATATTGTTCGGCGCATTTCGGCAACTGGCGACCTGGCGCTGCCAATTCTTCAACGAACTCTTCATCGGCTAGTATCAAAGATGCCGGGCTCCAATCCGGCCAGCCCAAAGACGAGGGGCAAGAGCCCGCCTGCCAAGAGCAGTAGTCGCTCGCTGGGAGATGAGCTTGGAGACATGAGGGTTGAAGACCTCGGGGATGTAGAGCCCGAGGAGAGTTCTGCAGATACCGGCTGCGACCGAGAGAAGCAGCAAGACAAACCAAAGCCAGAGGAGGGCAAGGAGGAGTCCGAGAAAGGGAACAGCGATGGCAAGACCACCGGCCCTAGACTCCCAAAACAGCCAACCATCATCGGCAACGTTACAGACGCCTATCAAAAGGAGCCGGCATACATAGCCCCAATCGGCCCCATCAGTGCCATACCCGCCGTGGACGAGGTGGAAGGCGTCGAGGCCCTGGGGCCCCGGAACCTCAGCGGCGAAGGCCACGTGCCGTCGTCAAACCGACCCAGATTCCCAGTTTGGGCGACGGCGAGACTGGCCGGCAAGACGATCGACGAGTACGGCAATCTTGTCGACAGCGACGGCAACGTGTTGGGCTGCGTTGCTGGTGACCTACCCTCCATGGTTGGCCGTGCCGTCTCGAGCAAGCGCGGGGATGTGCTCGGTGATGACGGAGAGTTGCTGGGCTACGTGGCGGAGATAGTGGATGGAAACAAGGGCAAAGAGAAAGAAGTTGAGATGGGTGAAGACGGCCAGGCTTACACCGATGACGGATCAGATGTCGAGGACCCGGAGGACGGAGATGAAGAGGCGGGGGCATTGCCACAACAAACCTCGTCTCCAACAAGCATAGATCAGTACATTGGAAAACCAAGCGCTAGCCTCCAGGTGGACCATAGGGGCAATATCCTAGACTCCCTTGGTAACATTATCGGCCACTTCCGAGACGCCTCCAAGGACACGAAGCCGGAAGAAGGGACGGCAGGGGCCACGACAACAGCGGGCAGTCAGCAGGAGCCAAGGAGGCCCATACCGGATCATGGAGGAGCCCAAGGCCCTTCGGCGGCACCCGGACCCGGATCCGGCCCGAGGCAAGGCGAAAGCGCCGGAGGAGCTGCAGGATTAGGGGGAGGGAGGCCCAAGAACGCGTCGGACTTCAAGAAGGAGAACGAGAGCCCGTCCGACATCTTCCTAGACATCAAGTCGACCACGGAGGGGATCCAGCTGACCATACGCATCCCGACCGTTTTTGCGGGACCGCAGCCTCGGTTCAACGTCACAACGTGATGCGTGGAATATATCACGCAGGCGTTGACCGGGGGGATGGTGCTGTAAACGAGGCAGACACGAGGGTTTGGGGCTCCAGATATCTAGACTGCCGTCTGACGAGGGACGCACCGACAGATGTTGAGGAAACACGCGGGGCAGCGAAACTCTAATTGGAAGCTTTTCCCAAACTATGGGAATGTGGACTTCACCTCTCTGTTTGTGTCGCCGGGGTGTGCCTGGTTGTCACAAATCCTGGTGTGCGAGAGCTGGTCAGCTGCCGCTGGTTAAGGGAAGGACTGAAGCAAACTCACATGGGCGGTGCTGGAATATCTGTCGAGCAACGGGAGGGGGAGCCTCCTAGCCACCCCAACGCCGCGACCCAGGAAAGATTAGCTGTCGTCAGCTCCCGCGTCACTCGATGGGATTGGAAACAGGTTTCTGGAACCGACGAGCGAGAAGGAGGGGGGCGAGAGAGAGAGAGAGAGAGAGAGAGAGAGAGAGAGAGAGAGAGAGGAGGAGGAGGG